CTGGTACACAAAGTATGACACACCCCAGCCACGTGTCCACCCGCCCAAAGGGGGCTGAAAAGAGATACTGTGTCCCCACCAAAGGGTCAGAGTTCCTGTTTTCTCATCAACCATCCAACTCATTCGTTATCCAGGCAGCCTCAGAACATTTCAAAAAATGCCTCCACCCCATCCAATACAATGGGTAAGAGAATGGACCTCATGGGCAGAAAGGTCTTCTCGGCGGACTCCAGTTTCATATTTCAAACTACTTAGCTCTGATGGCCAAATATGATTTCATGAACTATGGGCGATTGGCAGAGTTTGCAGACAAACTACCACCACAGGATCGCAATCAATTCCAGGCAGTGTTGGAGGAAGGCAAGTTACTCATCAGATCCATGCTTCAGCAGTGGACTCCACAGACACAGCCTCCCATGTCTTGGCAACAAGGATCATCATGAGGAGGGAATCCTGGTTACACTCCTGGCTTCCCCAGGAAGGTGCAAAACACTATAGAAGACCTCCCATTTGACTAATCGCACCTCTTCAGTCAGAAGACAGACAAGACCCTACACTCCCTGAACGACTATAGAGCCACTCTAAGATCTCTGGGCATCTACACAAAAACACCCAAGAGGAAATTCTACCGCCCGCACCAATCATATAATTACAGGGCCACACAGCTATTCCACCAATATACCTATTAGCCGCCTCAAAAGCACCCTAAGGTCCACAGGTTCTGTCAACCTACATCAATTGCCCAGCCATCAGTGCAGTACACCCAAACATCACATAAATGGTATTTAAGTGCCTTAGCTGTCAACCACTCCATACACCAATGCCCATTTCATCTATTCCCTTTGGAGGACGCCTCAAACTCTTCCTGCCAGCATGGAAAACCATAACAGCGGACAAATGGGTCCTAGATATTATCCAGAGTAACTATGTCATAGAGTTTACAGTGACACCTCCATCTCACCGCGATCCTCGATCTGCATGCATGAAACACACAATGACCTCCTCCAACTAGAGGTAGACTCCCTACTGCAGAGGAGAGCTGTGGAGCTAATCCCAGACTCCTTTCAAGGAACAGGGTTCTACTCAAGCTACTTCTTAATCCCTAAAAAGACTGGAGGGTGAAGACCGATATTGGATCTCCGCCTCAACCGCTCAATTTCCAAACCAAGATTTTTGTATGGTCACACTTGCAACAATAATTACCTCCTTAAAAAAAGGCATCTGGTTGATAGATATACAAAATATCAATATACTCCCAACTCTTAGAATGTTCCTGAGGTTCAAGGTGGGGATTTGGCATCTTCAATACAGGGTCCTACTGTTGGGACTCACCACTGCCCCACGAGTATTCACAAAAGTTTTCTTGGTAATGGCAGCCCATCTCAGACGTCAAGGGATCCTTGTTTTTCCCTCTCTAGATGACTGGCTGATAGCAACACTGTACAAAGAAGCAGCCCAGGAGTCGACATCCCAACTGCTTCTACTCCTCTCCTCCCCGGGTGTCAGTGTCAACGTCAAAACATCAACTTTAAACCCTACACAATCCCTGGAGTTCATAGGAGCTCTCATAAGACAAGACTTCTGCCTGAACTTATCTACCAAGGGAAAGATTCCAGACAAGGACGGATTAATCACTTTGGTATCCTCCTCACATGGCAGCCTGTATATACGTCACACCCTTCACTTGCCTACACCTGCACTGCCTTCAGCTCTGGCTACAAAAGGTCTACTCCCCCATGCATCAATCCACATGCACACTGCTCCACATGCCATCAGAAGATTTCTCCTCTCTCCAGTGGTGGATGAACCCACTACAAGTCTGATCAGGGATGAGCGTCCTCCCATCCTTGCCCACCATGATAATCATACGACACATCCGTCACAGGCTGGGGCTCCCACATCGGCGATTGCATGACACAAGGCCCCTGGACAGCATGAAAGTCCAGGATGCACATAAACATATTGGAATTCCAGGCATTACGCAAAGCTTGTCAGGCGTTCCTGCCAACCATCCGAAACCAACACATTCTTGTCATGTCAAGACAACACCACCACAGTCTTCTACATAAACAAGGGGGACAAGATCCGAGCCCTGTTTGCAGAAGCTATACACCTTTGGGTATGGTGCATCACACACCATATTCTTCTGACAGCAGCCTACCTATTTGGCACCCAGAATGCGATTACTGATGCTCTCAGCAGAAACTTTGCAACCAGCCAAGAATGGGAGTTGCATGACTCTGTAATCATGGACATCTTTGACCAATGGGGAACCCTGGTGAGGGATCTTTTTGCACCCCATAACAATACCAAATGTACCCAATATTGTTGGAGAGGAGGAGTTGGAATTCAATCACAGGGATGCCCTAGTCCTCAATTGCTTGGACCAGACGAATTATGCCTTCCCCTTCTCCCCCCTTACCGCAAGTGATCCACAAGATCGGACAGCAGAAGGCAACAACCATCCTGATAGCCCCATTCTGGCCTTGCTGATCGTGGCATCTGCTCCTCCTGAATATCAAAGCACCCTCCAATCACACTTTGAACATTCCCAGAGCTGCTGACTCAACACAGTGGCAGACTCAGACAGTCCCACCCACACACTCTTTATCTTTTTGGCTTGGTTTTTGAATGCACACCTCCACTAGTGCAGGAATGCTCTATGGCAGTACGAGATGGCCTCTCAGGCAGCAGGAAGGAGTCCACAAGGCGCTTGTATCAAGCCAAGTGGATGTTTCACTTCCTGGGCTACCAAACAGGACCTTGTCCCTGAAGCAGTGGGCATCCCACTACTCATGGAATATTTCCTTTATCTGAAGGACTCAGGACTGACCGCCAGTTCCATTAGAGTCCGTGCATCTGCCATAGGCGCCTTTCATCTGCTGGTAGACGGTCATTCAATCTTTACCCGCTCTTTAACTGTGCAGTTCAGGAAGGGTCTCCTGTGAAAATACCGTCCCATTCAACCTATCGCCCCCAAAAGGACCTTAACTAGTCCTCATCTTGCTGATCACCATCTTCAAACCGATGCTTGCTATCTCTCCTTTCCATGAAAGTCTCCATTTTCATTGGCTAGGAGGGTTAGCAAACTGGGGGCCATGATGGCTAACCCCCTTCACCACTTTTCATAAAGACAAAGTCTCTCTACAATTGCACCCCAAGTTCCTTCTGAAAGTGGTTTCCCAAATCCACCTCACTCAACACATATACTTTTACCTACTTTCTTCCCCAAATCTCATACCTTGAACAAGGAAAGAAGGCTTCATTTGTTAGATGTTCGAAGGGCATTGGTTTTTTTATCTTGAGCAAACAAAGCCCTTTCAGAAATCTCCCAGGTTTTTTGTTGCCATAGTGGAGAGAATGAAAGGACAAGCCATTTCCACCCAGAGAATTTTCAAGTGGGTCTCAGGGTGCATTATGCACTTCTATCAATTCCGCCTGAAAGGATTTGGGCCCAATCCACGAGAGTGCAAGCATCAACTACAGTTACACTCCACAACGTGCCCCTCGCAGACCTATGTAAGGTGGTCACATGGAGTTCGGTACACACTTTTTTTGATGGGCTATGCTCTAGTGAATGATTCTGCAACAGATGCTTTGTTCGGAGCAGCAGTCGTCCATTCCACAGGCTCCTCGCACCATCCTCTGACATAAGTACTGCTTGTTAATCACCCTCAGTGGAATACAATAGGGACCATCACTAGACGAAAACAAGGTTTCTTATCTGTAACTGAATGTTCTTCGAGATGTGTGGTCCCTATCTGTATTTGAAACCCACCCTCCTTCCCCTCTGCTGCGGAGTCAGTAGCTCTGCAGTAGAGAAGGAACTAAAGATGCCAGCAACCCCCCCGCACCCTTTATCACCTGGAGCGAGACCACAAGGCTACACAGGGCACATGTGCAGACTGCCGAACAGTACTACTTTCAAAAGCTCTGACTCTGGGCACATGCACATAACCCCTCAGTGGAATATGGATGGGAACCACGCATCTCAAAGCACATTCAGTTACAGGTAAGTAACCTCAGGTTGTTTTGGCTGCAGTGTAACTCCAAAAACAGTGATTCACAGAAATTATGCTCAAGCAGTGCCATTACAAAGCTTGCTGAAGCCCATTAATACTAATTTTGCTTCTGTCCATTGGAAACACAATATGATTCTCCCTGTTTTGAGCTCCTTCTTTACTAGACTGCTGGCAGCATGCATCCCAAATTCCAGACTGAAAAATGGGGGACAATTGTGCTCATCGAGCAGAGACCACCTGGCAATTATTTCAGTAGGAAAATTTGTGGATCTGTGTCTTTTTGCAACAGGCGTACAAAATTCTTATGAATATTTACCATCTGTGGTATACAATCTAATTGACCATTCTCACCATGATGAGAGAACTGAACTATTATCTACTATGGAGAAATAGATACTACACCTGCTAACTGTTTCTATACAGTAAATGGCATTGGAGTTTTCTTTTGCATAAACAGTGATGTTAATGTGTCTGCTTTAAATGTTTTTAAAGGTATATAATGAAATGTGTGTGCAAATATAAACTACTTTGGAAACATTACCCTTTAAAAGTACTGATTTTAGTGTGCATAACCTAGAGAAAACCGAATGCTGTCTTTCTAGAGTAAAGAGAAATAGGACATTGAGCTTTTCTTTTGATGTCTTAGTGCTAGATTAGTTTACGATGCTTGGGCAGTGACAATTTTGTGATGGCGACTTCCTTTTTCTGATCTTTTGGACAAACAGTGCAGCCAATGCACAGTAACATTACAGAAGAGTGCGTACTTGGAAAGAAATCCCAAGGGCTTGTATACAGCTTCATTCTTGCTGTACATTTTTATTTTGATCAGCATCTTTGGAACTTTTATTTCTGATAGTCTGGATATGGAGGACTTTCCATGTCCAACACATACTAAGGGATCAGAGACCTTTATTTCTTAGTAAGTCTCATTATATTGAGTAGAGAAAAGTTAACTTGGAATGTTTTTTGTCTTTCCAGATACAGTTTATGTAATCACGCCAGATGAGAAAGGAACAGCTCCCAAAAGACACGTGCTCAACAGCAAACCCCTACTTCCAGCAAAATCCAAATTGCTGTATTTTAACTCCTCTTCCTTTAAAATGATGCAGGAAAATCATGAAGGCCCACAAAGGAAACTGGGACGACTCTCTAGGAAAGTGTCAATACATGATATAAAGCCAAGAATTCCCCTGATTTAAGATGTTCTTTTCTGGTGACTAATGCGTCAGTACTTTCAACTCCTATTAATATCCATAATCAGTAACATACAAAGAGAAGCTCTTATTCTGAAATTGTAAGATTTGTATTTGGAAATGCTGTGAGGAATGAAGATGAGTGTCCTTTACCATAACTCAAAACAAGATTTTCTTTGGGGGATCAGATCCTAACTCTTACTTCTGCAGTTATCTTTTCTTCAGTCCTCACAAATGTAGACACAGCAATGAAAATTAACTTTTCTTTTAAAAAAAAATTATATATTCAGTTTGCAGTAGACATTCCTTATGTATTGTTTGTATTTATTTATGATTATCAATTTAAGTAACATTAATATTGTATCAAACTCCTTATGAAAATGAGTATGGATGTATACAGTATGTCTGATTTTTTTTATCCACAATAATGATTTTGATTCAAAATGCTTTTCAGCTGACATATAGAGCACTAACTATTTTAAAGGCCTGAATCTTATGAATTCTCAGTCTGTATGGGAATTAGGAAAGTTATAAAATGCATTAATCCTTTATAGTCAATTCTGTGCCTAGGATTTTGCAAGGGAACAGTTAACTGACAAAGAGAAGCACTACATTTTTAATTCAGCATTAGTGCATTGGGAAGGAACTTTATTGCTTTGTGCTTGGCATGTCATTACTTTACATTTGACATAAGGCCTTTCCAGAATGAATGTGAGGAATTGCTTTCACTTTAAGACTTTCCTTTTCTTTAAAAACTCTAGGAGGTATTATGTGAAAAAAGCCTTGATTTTCATTTGGCTAGTGCCATGTTTATGATCATGTACCTTTAAAAAAAATAATAATAAAAATAAATAAGGGAAGTAGCATCTTTACAAATGACTAGCAAGAATTTAGTTAATGAAGAATTAAAGCAGCACTGTTGATCGGTGCTTTGCGTAAATACATCGTAACTTTTGGGTCGAAAGGGGCCTTCAGAAGGATAGTCCATGATATGAAAGCAATTCTGTACATGAATGAAGCATACTTGCTGCATTGTCTCTGCAGATTCTATTTTTGTTTAAAATATTAAAATGTATGTTAGCAAAAATGGGTGGATTTTCAAATAAAATGCAGCTTCCACAGAACTTTTGTTACAGTATGAAAGCATGAGGTACTTCTTTTCTTTTTGCCTCTTAAAATAGGCAAGGATTATTGCTTTGTTTACTTACAGTACCAAATCTATTTAATTACATGCATATTACATGCTAGGAAGTGCACCAATATGAATCTGTCTAGATTTCTATACTGTGCCTCCCCCCATGGTGGTACAGCACCTTAGTTTTATTGAAGTGAGTGAATACAGCCTCTCACCAAGAGCTGGATCTATTACTTGAAATCATTGGTGTCTGGTGTCCCCTAACATTCTCAAAATGCTTATAGCAGCCAACTTGATGCTTGTAACTGGGTCACATAGAAAGAAGCATGAACAGGCTTACACCGGTTTCCCTTACACAACTACCTTAAAGGTTCCAGCCTTGGGCCATGGCTGACAAGCTAGAAGCATCTTGCTGAGACATCAGTCGCTTACTTTGGAGACAGAGTTCCCATCATGAAAGCAAAGGGCTTACTCAAAGTCTAGGAAGAAGGATGCAAGGGCCTGTTCATAATGAGGGGAACCTAGTAGGGCTGTTTTCAGCTGTTCTGACGTTTGCCCTGATGTTTAACTCTTGACCTTATATTGGCACACATTGTAAAATGGCTACTACACAAGTAACTTTAAGGACTCTGAGCAGGGCTGAGCCAATATTGTTCTGTTAGTATGCAAAGTGGACATATTGCCTGTACAGGTTGGTAAAAGGTTTTGAATCTTTAGTATCCCCCACTAATGCACTTCTCCCAGGCTGCTACCTACTACTTCAGAGGTTCATTTGAAAAGTCTATAGCTCTTTGTTTGCAACCAACAATCTTTAAAATGAAGTGTCTCTGATGTGGTGATGTCCTTGTTTTATAAGTAGGGCCCTATCAAATTCACAGCAGTGAAATATAGTCTCCCCTGTGACATCTGGTTATTATAAGGGGATTGCAAAATTACCACCCTTCTGCACTGCCTTCAGAGCTGGGCGGCTGGAAAGCAGTGGTTGCTGGACGGGCACCCAACTCTGAAGGCAGTGCCGCCGCCACCAGCAGCAGCGTAGACGTGAGGGTGGCATGGTATGGGGGGACATCACCTTTGGGGGGAGCAGGGACAGCTGTATGGGTGGGCACCATGGGCACCCCGCCCCCCCCCCCACACACACACACACACACACAGCCCATGGCCCCTTTAACCTCTGAGTGCTGGGGAGGAGCAGGGCTAGGGGCATGTTGGCTGGGAGCTCCTACCCTATGCCAGTCCCAGGCTGCCAGTCCTGGCCAGGCTGTGGAGGGGAGGGACTTCCTCTCCCCTGCATTGGCTGCTTCCGGGGCTGGGTCAGACCACCTTTGGCGCTGGCACAGAAGTAAGGGTGGCAATACCATACCATGCAACCCTCACTTCTGCGCTGCTGCTTTCAGAGCTGGGCTCATGGCCAGCAGTCTCCTCTCCAACTGCCCATCACTGAAGGTAGCACTGCCGCCAGTAGCAGTGCAGAAATACCACGAACCCCCCCCCTCCCAATAGCCTTGCAACTCTCCCCTCCTCCCTCCCCCCAGTCAGGACCCCCACAGTTATAACATTGTGAAATTTCAGATTTTAAAAATCCTCTGACCATGAAATTTACCAAAATGGACAGTGAATTTGGTAAGAGTCCTATTTATAAGGGTATGCCTTGATTGCAGAGAAGAGGAATGTTAATGCGGGTGGGCTAACTTAACATGCTAGCTGACAGGTTAAAAGAGCAGTGAAGAGACAGCAACTTGCCTGAGGGTTAGGGCAGCCTGGGGTTGGACTGAAGCTGCTAACAGGCTTTAACTCAAACTGCTCATCAAAGCCCCCTCTGGCTGCTCTCCTTCAGGAGTAACCTGTTCTCGGGCGTGGGCTGTGTCAGGCTGGAAGTTCTGAAGGCACCTAAGTGAGTTGCTCAACTCACGTTAATTTTCAATGAAGGTAGAGCATCTCATTCCCATAGGCTGGATTGTTTTATTGTAAGAGCAGGAACTCCTGCTGTGGAGCTGCGTTCTCCTTGCTGTTCTGTACATCTGCTTCAGCCAGCATTGGAGGAGATGATTGTGGTGTTCCAGAGGGCTCTGATTCCTTAGAGAGACCAATCAGGCTATTTGGAAAAACAGAATAGCAGCATGCAAACAAGGGGAAACATTTTAAAGAAACAACCTTATGGTATAAATTAGAAAATAAAAGCAGTCAGCAATGGGGCTTTTCCTTTGATTTTCAGTTATTTTGGCCAAAGTCATCACAAGAATCTGTCTCTGGTGTAAATTTGAGAAATAAATATTGGACATTTCATTTATTTTCTAAAAACTCAACTGTACCGAACACAGAACATGGGTGATAATATAGCTAAAGGTCTTGCTGCTCTGAAAACGCAGTCACTAGGGAACAAACAGATCGCAGCGATGTACTGTATAAAATATTGGTTTAAGAATGGCAATATTGCATGCAATAGATTGTCCCTGATAGCTTGAAAGAACTGTCTCCCTGGAAGCACCCTGTGCAGCACAGAAACACTAACTTCTTTCAGAATAGACAAATATTAATCATATCAGATGGTCTGTCCAGTCAGCCATTGTGGATGAGGCCCACCACGCAGATTGTTGTTGCTGCTCCCCCAAGCTGCCAGTCAGGACAAAGATGTTAAGCCAGCGCACCTGAAGACCTTTTGTTCCAGGTGCCCACTCCAGAATAAGAAAAGTAGACGCAAAGGCAATGCCAGCCCAGAAGAGCCTGTTCTTCAGAGGTCATTGCTGGGCAAAAGAGGATGGAAGTAGGATCAGGATAGTACCTGGGAGAAATGAGTTAATTACAGCTTGGGAAATTGGGTTCCAGATCCCCTTTCAGCCCTAAGAGCCATGGGCCACAGGGAAAGTCTGTGATACAAGTGAACAGCAGACAAAGTGCCAGGGAAGGGGAGTAGGAATGAGATAGGTCATAGTGCTAAAGTACAAAAAGGGACAAAGAAATGTAGAAGAGGTAATAAAGTTCTAATAGCACATTTACTCCTGAGGCTGACAGACCTTGCCTGACATCAGTTAGGAACAGCTGTATACTGACCTTTGTACTTCCTCCCCAACATTAAAATAGGCAAGGCTGGTCAATGTACTGCTCCTTGGTTGGTGTTGAGACTGTGAGGATGACACAGAACCCATGCCATAGAGTCATAGAAGATTAGGGTTGGAAGAGACCAGAAAAGGTCATCTAGTCCAACCCCAACTAAATCATCCCAGGCAGGGCTTCGTCAAGCCGGGCCTTAAAAACCTCTAAGGATGGAGATTCCATCACATCCCTAAGTAACCCATTCCAGTGCTTCACCACCCTCCTAGTGAAATAGTGTTTCCTAATATCCAACCTAGCGCTCCCCCACTGCAACTTAGAAGATCATAGAATTGGAAGGGACCTCGGGAGGTCATCTAGTCCAATCCCCTACTCAAAGCAGGACCAATCCCCAGACAGATTTTTACCCCTGTTTCCTAAATGGCCTCCTCAAGGATTGAACTCATAACTCTTGGCCTTGTTCTGTCATCTGCCACTACTGAGAACAGCCAAGCGCCATCCTCTCTGGAACCCCCCTTCAAGTAGTTGAAGGCTGCAATCAAATCCTCCTCTCACTCTTCTCTGCTACAGACTAAATAAGCCCAGTTCCCTCAGCCTCTCCTCGTAAGTCATGTGCCCCAGCCCCCTAATCATTTTAATTGTCCTCTGCTGGACTCTCCAATTTGTCCACACCCTTTCTGTAGGTCCCCAAAACTGGCTGTAATACTACAGATGTGGCCTCACCAGTGCCAAATAGAGGGGAATAATCACTTCCCTTGATCTGCTGGCAATGCTCCTACTAATGCAGCCCAATATACTGTTAGCCTTCTTGGCAACAAGGGCACACTGTTGACTCATACCCAGCATCTCATCCACTGTAATCCCCAGGTCCTTTTCTGCAGAACTGCTGCTTAGCCAGTTGGTCCCCAGCCTGTAGCGGTGCATGGGATTCTTTCATCTTAAGTGGAGGACTCTGCACTTGTCCTTGGTTGAACCTCATCAGATTTCTTTTAGCCCAATCCTCCAATTTGTCTAGGTCACTCTGGACCCTATCCCTACCTTCCAATGTATCTACCTCTTCGTGTCATCCACGAACTAGCTGAGGGTGCAATCCATCTCATCATCCAGATCATTAATGAAGATGTTGAACAAAACTGGCCCCAGGACAGATCCGTGGGGCACTCCGCTTGATACCGACTGCCAACTAGACATCGAGCTGTTGATCACTAATTGTTGAGCCCAACAAACTAGCTAGCTTTCTATCCACCTTATAGTCCATTCATCCAATCCATACTTTTTTTAACTTGCTGGCAAGAATAGTGTGTGAGACCGTATCAAAAGCTTTGTTAAAGTCCAGGTATATCACGTCCACCGCTTTCCCCATATCCACAGAGCCAGTTATCTCATCATAGAAGGCAATTAGGTTGGTCAGGCATGACTTGCCCTTGGTGAATCCATGTTGACTGTTCCTGATCACCTTCCTGTCCTCCAAGTGCTTCAAAATGGATTCCTTGAGGGCCTGCTCCATGATTTTTCTAGGGACTGAGGTGAGGCTGACCGGTCTGTAGTTCCCCAAATTCTCCTTCATCCCTTTTTTTAAAGATGGGCACTGTATGTGCCTTTTTCCAATTGTTCAGTACCTCCCCCGATCACCACACGTTTTCAAAGATCACAGCTAATGGCTCTGCAATCACATTAGCCAACTCCCTCAGCACCCTCAGCTGCATTAGCTCCGGCCCCATGGACTTGTGCACGTCTAGCTTTTCTAAAATGTTTAGGTATCTTTCTTTGGGGATAGCTGTCATGTCTGTGGTAACAGCCTACTATGCTCTTATTCAGCATTAAAAAGCATTTTCAAAAGATGAGTGAAGACTAGCATCTACTCTAGAAGATAATATGCTAGAGCCACCGGGCACTCACCAGTTGGTGAGGTTCTCTGAAAAGTGACTCAAAAAATGACATTATGGTGTTCCCAACTGATGGGTTCTCAGTGACTTCCTGTAGATTAAACCTTGAATCCAGGTCACGTTGGGTTCTTTTTGGCTCCAACACCACCCATCAAGATTCTGCAGTCAGCAGTGAGTAAGCAGTTGTGATGGCCTTTGTCTTGTCCAACAAGTCAGGCATTGAACGGGAGACTTCCAGGGCTAAAAGCATCAATCTCCACAGCTTGAACTAAAGAGCCAGACTTCGTAGTTATGTCTGTAACAACTCCTACCCTCTGTAGGTGGGGGATACACAGCGGTGAAAGTAAGCCGGTACGGTCCAGTATGGCAAGAGCCGATACACAGCCGACCGTACCGGCAGCGGGGGAGCTTCCCCAGGCCAGTGATTTAAAGGGTCCGGGGCTCTCAGCTGCCACTACCACAGCCGGAGCCCCGGGTCCTTTAAATCTCGATTTAAAGGCCCAGTCTCTTCTGGTTGAGGCCCCGCCCCCGCTCAGGACTCCAGCCTACCAGTAAGTCCTTTAAGTTACTTTCACCCCTGGGGACACAACACACAGCCCAGTGAGTTACCTGACCATGCTAATAATCCATGAGCCAGAATAGAAGGCCGCTTGCTGTCCCAGAGCTGTGCTGGCTGTACAGAGCAAACAGGAATAAGTAGGAGCTAGTTTTACCTGCTAAAGTTAGCAGATATGCTGAGCAAAATGATGCCATTTTTAGTCACTTCAGAGTAGAACTGTATTTGTGGGGTGAAGCTACCTTCCATTCTAACCATAGATCCAGAGTCTCTCACTGCTGCAGGGACCCCATAAACTCCATACATTTTAATGGAGACACTAGCATAAAGCTGGAATAACAGCGATGAATCACATCCCTGAGCCAAACCAACACACCTGCAATTTCCATGTGTGGTTTTTATTTTCTGAAAAGTTTGAAGCTGATTGAACAGAGAGATGAGGCTGCAGTGACAGAGATCTCACTTGTATGTCTCCGACAAACTTTTCCTTAGTCCCTCTTCATCCCAACTCCAGGATGGCTTTGCCTAGAAATTCTTCCAAAACTGGGGCCTTTGCCAAGGAATCCTGCTTTCAATTATAGTTCTGGTGGGGACTGCTGGCAGTGTCCATGAATTATAGCTCCAATGCAGTTTGAACACTTCATTGTCTTGATGAGGAAAGAGCTGCAGTAGGGAACCACCTGTGGGGCTGGTCACTGAGAACTAGAGCCACACTGGAGGGCAGAAGTGTACACGCTGGGCAGGAGGGGGCCAAGAAATGAGAGAGACAGACACAGGAGAGTAGAGGGAAGGAAAGAAAACCTGGCCAGTGTTCCAGAAATTGCTCGCTTAATAGCAAGCCCCCATGTAGCACTCTTTGTCGTCGTCTCTTACTGGGACAGCAAAAGCATGAGGCAAGGAGCTACATGGTGGGATGGAACCTGGTCCACTGACAGGGTGGGAGGATCCCACAGGAGTGGGCTCTGCAACATTCATTCCTGTCACTGAGTAATTCCTACAGGCAGTGCCGTAACAAGGGCGAGGCTAGTGAGGCACTTGCCTCGGGTGCACAAAGGGGAGGGGCGCAATCAACTCCTCTCCGCCTCCTCCCCTGAACGCTCCGCCCCTACTTCTCCGAGCCCCCGCTTCCCGCGAATCAGCCAGACCAAAAATTAAATAAGTGATGTATCAGAGCTTTCATGGGTGAATGCTCCAATACGTCAGTTAGTCTATAAGGTGCCACAGGACTGTCACTTTTTACAAATAAGTGATAGACACTCCTGGGGTGGTGAAGATTAACACTTACATAAAACAGATGCATAGCCATGCTTACTGAGCACTGGCTGCAATCCAATTAAGCACATGTTTAAGGGCTTTGCTGGATGGGGGCCAAAGTACTTAGCACATTGCAGGACTGCGCTCATAAAGAGGAGTTTAGTGGATTCAAGATGTTTACACTTCCAGCCTATTAGCTTTAGTCCTTATCAAAAACTGCTTTCAAATGTGTCTATTTATTTGACACTCAGTGCACTGGGAGAATGCCAGCATTGGTAGGAGGTCAGAGTTCAGGTAATTTGGGTAATGTTCATACTTCCTAATTATTGTACCCTTAACTCTGAATTGCCAGACTAACCTTTGCCACCTGGGTGAGAGATTTGTGTGTTTGGGATGTGAGATGGGTGGGGGCAACAGCTGACGGAGAGTCCCAGTTATCACCTGCCGGCTGCAGTGATGACAAACCTACAGCCCAGAGCAGGGCACGTGAGTGGAGAACAGACTAGGTCACTGAAGGCTCAAGGCTTGCTGTGAGAAGGTAAATTGCTTTGGTTCTGTTCCTGTAATTTAAGAGAAAAGCCTGTCTAACTTAGCTGGTCATGTAGTGTAAGATTAGATGAGACTGAATATGCATACAGGCTGTTTGTTGTTTTGAAAACTCTTTTTCGTCCAATGTTTTGTTCCAACTACTAAACAACCATACTTTGTTCTAACCAGGCTGTTGGTCACTGTGGCTCCTGAAAAAAGGAAACAGATGTCCAAAGCCCAGTCAGGCCTGCAGGGCGATAGGTGTTGGTAGACAGGAGGTACAGTACCCAGGTCCTGCTCAAAGAGCAGAAAAATCAGTAAGGTATGTCTACATAAGAGAGCTTACAGCAGCAGAGCTGTACCAACGCACGCACCATTGTAAGATCCCTCGTGTAGCTGCTCTATGCCGACAGGAGAGAGCTCTTCTGTCGATATAATTAATCCCAACGAGCTGTCGGCAGGAGTGCTTATGCCAGTGAAACTTACATTGCTTAAGGGGGTACAATATTCACACACACCCCCCCCCGAGCTACACAAGTTTTACTGACATAAGTGGCAGTGTAGACGTAGCCTAAGGCACTCAGAGTGATCAAGGAGACAGATACACAGCCAGCCCCATAATCATGACAGGTCTGAACAATATGCCCAGCATGTTTTAAAATCCCTTAATTCAGAGGTTTCAAACTCCCGGCCCGTGGGCCATCTGTGGCCCGCGAGCCTCCCCAGCATGGCCTGTGAGGCTCCAGCAGTTTTGGGGCCCGGTCTCTCCCTTGGCCCCACCTGCCGCTCCCAGGCGCTCCCCCCTCAGGGACCCCAGCAGCGCAGCAATACTGAGCGGCATCTGCCTGTTCACTCCAGTGGCTGCCGGCCCCTCCCTGAGGCCCAGGGGCGAGGCGGGGTAGAGCTGTGCCTCCGCGCACTGCCCCGAGCACTCCTGCAGCCAATGGGACGCTGTGGTGGCGGTGCCTGGGGGCAGAAGCGCACGGAGGCCCGCCCGCCCCGCCTTGGAGCCCCAGGTAAGTGCCAAACCCCCGACCCCCTCCCGACATACCCCCTCAGCCCCCAAACTCCATCCCAGAGCCTGCACCCCAGACCCGTACCCCCACCCAAACTCCCTCCCAGAGCCTGCACTCCAATCCCCTAGCCCAGACGTCCTTCCCACCCAAACTCCGTCCAAGAGCCTTAGGCAGGTGGAGGGTGGAGGTTTTTTGGGGGGTGGAGTTTTGTGGGGGCGAGTTCTGGGTGGCATGAGTGACATTGGCCCACTGGGAGGATTTGAGGACTGGCACTGGCCCTAAGGTAAATTGAGTTTGAGACCCCTGCTTTAACTGAAGAATATATACATTTTTAAATCCACTTTCTGGTGTTGCAGTTTAATTTCATGCCATTTATTAAAATGTATCTGATCCTTCGATTTATGGAGGTGAAAAGAAAATCATTCAACCAAATATTTTGGCAATAGTTTGGATTATTCTCAACATACTGTACTTTGCTTAAACCGAGTAGTAAATACTTAGCAGCTTCCACCTTTTATGTCAGCCTACGTTTATCTGTTTGTAATGTCTAATCAAACTAGAATTCTGTATCTGGAAGACTGCAAGTAGGGACCATAGAAGTCAAATATTGACCCTGATCCTGCATTAGCTACACCCCATCTACATTAGTGGGAGTTTACACTGCACAAGGAATGTGCAGGTTCATGCCCACCGTCTATAGTACTATGGAAAGAAACCTTTATATTAGCCATCTAGAGACATTCCTGTTAATGCAGCCAGCTATTTCAATTGTCTAATATTTAAATCTAATGCTTTAGGTACTTAAGAAAAGAGCGTCCATAAGCATTGTGTCACAGATTACCTGGAAAACAGATCAAAGATTTAATGAACTTCAAATTACATTTCTAAATGAGCAATATAAATTAGTCTATTTTTAACCAACCAGGACCTTTTGTTCCTAAGTAAATACAGATTTGATCATGCGGTATGTGATGTGGCCCTCTGATTTATAGGTATCAAAACTGTCTTCAAACTGGCATTTGCTTGACATTTCTCTCAATTCTTCATGAATAGGCATGGCTCTTCCCACTGCACTCATCAGTTTCGTCCCCAGGGGACCCAGTTTTGAGTGTTCCTGGAGTTGCAGAAGAGACAGGGAATATTATTGTTCATCAGCAATTGCATGGCAAAAGAGAGGCACTTCAGAAGACTACTGTTTTTCTTTTTAAAGAGACTCGGTAAAGATGTCCTCAAGGGATTCCATGTTCAATAATTTCCATATCAAATGTGCTTAGTTTACAAGTAAAAAAAGGTTCCCATTCCAACTGCCAGCCCTGCCAACTCAGTCTGGGATTCAATAGCCTTAAATACACTCTGTGCCCCTTTGCACTTACACCTGGGAAGCCCTAGTCCAAGGCTATGTCTACACTGTGCAGTTTACAGCGGCACAGCTGTGCCACTCAAGTCTTGCCACCATAAGGTGTGCTGTGTAGCCGCTCTTTGTCGGTAGCAGAGAGCTCTCCTGCCGACAAAATCAAACCAGCCCCAGTGGGGGGCGGTAGCTTTGTCAGCGGGAGGGCGTCTCCCACCGACAAGGTGGTTTTTTTTTTTCACACCCCTGACCAACAAAAGTTTTAATGAGAAAAGTGCGATGTAGACATAGCCCAAGCCTCCCCGCAGACAGTGAGGTCTGGAAGAGGTGGCCTGGCCATTTACCCTTCCCAACCCCAACTTCAGAAAGGTCTAAGGCCCAGACAAAGGAGAGCACTTGAACCCAAACATTACCCTTAATGGCACTTGGGGTGCAGTGTCTCTATGGCAGCATCTCCAACTCTTTTCATGGGGAGTGTCACCCTGGCTACTTATACAGTATATCTTGTGACAGACCCAGACCAGTGGGGTACAGGAGTCTGGTAGAGGGCAAATATACTGGTCACTGGATGAGTAGTTTTCTGTTCCCTGAGTGACTAGAGCAGGGGCTGCACTAGAGTAATCAGGAACCTGCTAGAACCAGTTAAGGCTGGCTGGCTAATTAGGACACCTGGAGCCAATTAAGAAGCTGCTAGAATCAATTAAGGCAGGCTAATCAGGGCACCTGGGTCTTAAAAAGGAGCTCATTTCAGTTTGTGGTGTGAGTGTGAGGAGCTGGGAGCAAGAGGTGCAAGGAGCTGAGAGTGAGCTGCTGGAGGACTGAGGAGCACAAGCGTTATCAGACACCAGGAGGAAGGTCCTGTGGTAAGAATAAGGAAGGTGTTTGGAGGAGGCCATGGGAAAGTAGCCCAGGGAGTTGTAGCTGTCATGCAGCTGTTACAGGAGGCACTATAGACAGCTGCAGTCCACAGGGCCCTGGGCTGGAACCCGGCGTAGACGGCGGGCCCAGGTTCCCCCCAAACCTCCCAATTGACCTGGACTGTGAGTTCTTCCAGAGGGGAAGATCTCTGGGCTGTTCCCCAACCCACATGGTGAATCTCTGAGGCAAGAAAATCCGCCAATAAGCGCAGGACCCACCAAGATAGAGGAGGAACTTTGTCACAATCTATAATCCCAGATGTGGAAGCCAACAGCACCTTTCGCCATAACAGTGCTGCTGGTAGCTCATTTCCTGATTTTAAAAAAGCTAGTGCCACAGTAAGTGAAAGAAGCCCCATTGATTTTATCCTTTACCTGGATATCTTTTTCATCTTCATACAATAGGTAGTTGAGAGCAGGAGCCATTGGCTCTCCCCACAGATCCTCATAGCTGTCTTCCTGTTTCTCGGCCTCTGTCTCAGACTGAGTATCTGAAAACACTTCCTTCTCTATGGCTAGGGGTGCTGTGCTCTTGGTGCTTTCATCTCCAGCATCTGTCTTTGCTTTTTGGGGGAAGTCCAATGAGATGTTAATGGGGTTATACTTTGTGAAGGTTAGAAATAAGGCTTATCATGGAAATTGTAATTTTGTAATCTTTACTATGAGGTTGCCAGGGAGACTCCCAAATATACACTATGGACAGGTAAAAAAAGAGCAATGGACAAGAGTAAATAGTTTTATGCCAAATGCACATGCAAGCCGCTGAGATACTGCTGCTCTACCCATAGCACCACTGTATATCGCACAATCCAGTGGAAAATCTCTCAAATTGACAGTTAATTCTGCATGTGTCTTGGACAGACACACTGAGACCATCCTCTTAGACCATGGGCCACTGTACTGCTGGAGGGACCATCTTTGAGATGAGATGTAAGACAGTATATGATGATTCGTGGGCAGTAAAAATCCAAGGCATCTTTTGATCCTAGCATCCGGGCCTGGCCCAATTCCATTTTGGGAAACTACATCCTACTGACCTAAATATCTATTTCACTTAATACAATAGTGTATTATTTTTTTCCTGTCCTGCACTGTGATGTAGAGCTGCTGTGCAGGCTGCTAAACCCGAGATAACTGCATTTCAGTGGTAGATTAAATGATCACCATGTACATTAGAATGTTTTCAAAGGACTTTGCAGACAAAAAGTACTTAATGTAAGATTACTTATAAAGTTCCATGACTTTTTGACATGTGCATTACCTGCATAATCTCTACCCTGTAGTCCTTCCAAGTCCTCACTAAGCAATTCCTCTCCTTGAACTTGCAGGCCAGCTCCCTGGGTAAGAAATAAATGCCTATGAAATTTAAAAAAAAACACATGACATTAGATCTCTGAACATATTTCCCTAGAAACTGGAACAATTAACGATGCCTTGTTTTCAGAAAAGACGTACTCGAAAAGCCAGCTGACATTTAACCGCAAGCTCAGAATAATGCAATGGTTTAAAAATGTGATTGAGGCAGCCAGGTAGCTTAATGACTATGCTCTTTTGTATCCCTAATTCAAGTCTGCCATAAAATTCAAAGAAAACAAATGCAGTCTCGGATCAGTACACGGTCCAAACCAGAGCTGAAAGTCTTCACTTAGAAGCAGTCCAAGGTTCTTCTAGCAAGGAGAGTTAGAGACCCCTTTTGTGGTTAAAATGTGACTGCTACAGCAGGGCTGAAATCCCGGGGCAGGGGCAGTAAAGAGATGACTGATAACCTCTGGTGTTACACACTATGTTTATCATACCACATGTGCTAAATTAATTCTCTTTTGGGGAATAAGTTAGCGCCATTAGATGTGAAGGAACTTCATGCTGTGCAATGTACCCTTACAGTGCCATGCAAGAGCCTCTTCCCTTATTTCTGCTTAATACGGCCTGTCATCTGCGGTACTTGGGACTGAAAAAACTGAATTAGAGCATTAGCCTTCACGCCCCCAAATATCTGAACCAACAATAAGGAGCTGTCCAGCCTGCACAGCTAGATATAGGGGGAGGTGTGGCAAGAAGGAATTCTTCCTCCCAACACCATAGGACTGCAACCCTAAATTGTGAGCCTTGGGGGGGAGGGGGAGGAGGAGGAGAAGGGAGATCTGTACAGCAGGAGATAATCCAGCTCTGCCACCCCCACATCCTGATCCCGATGTGCTGGTGCATACAGAGTCACAAGGTAGCTGAGCTTCAAAGCATGCCCCCAACATCCTCAAATTCTACCTCTTTTGAATAGGAAAGCTGCATTGGTTCTGCTGCCCAGGGACACTGAATAGCTGTGGAGGCAGCAGAAGTAGTTTCTAGGGCCCAGATTCTCAAAGGTATTTAGGTTTCAAATGCCCACTGAAATCAATGGAAGTTAGGTGTCTATATACCTTTGAGGATCTGGGCCTAGGTCTGTAAATGGAACCATTCTTACCCCGATATTTTAAGATTTTGAAGTCTGCAGTTAAACAGGCTCCTAATCATATATATATTTTCTTCTTCTAGTAGCTGAGCAGATGCTTCCAAGTCACTTACTTCCTTTCGGTACATTTCAACCTGTCGCAGATGAGAAAAACATGAGGCAATCTTGAAAGAGAGGGGGACCTGCACAAAGGGTCACGATCCTGGAGCTTCCTGAGTTCTTATCCTGTCTCACACTAGCTCCCTCTGTTGCCTTAGACAACACAGAAGGTCAAGAGGAGAACGACCTGGATGTATTGATTGATCACAGGATGACTACAAGTAAGGCTGCGAGTCTGTCACGGACTTCTGCAGCAGCCAGTGCTGGCTCAGGGGCTGCCAGAGCCAGGCAGCCCGTAGGGCAGCAGCAGCAGTTTGGGTGTGTGGGAGGGGGCTAGGAGTTGGTGGGACATGGGGGGGCACTTACCTCTGTGGGGGGCTCCCCGGCTCCCACCGGCATGGTCCTGTAGCTACTTCTAGGCGGAAGGGCCAGGGGGCTCTGTGCGCTGCCCGTGACCGCAGGCCCCACCCCCACAACTTCCATTGACTGCAGTTCCTGGCCAATGAGAGCTGCACAGCCGGCGCTTGTGGCAGGAGCAGCATGTGGAGCCCCCGGCCACTCTGCTGCCTAGGAGCTGCAGGGACACGCGGAGCCGGGTAGGGAGCCAGCCCCACCAACCCTTCCCCCCGACCCAGCACCAGCAGGGGTCCCAGGCCACCTCCCCTAGCATCAGTGGCATCCCCAGTCCACCCCCTTCCTCCAGAGAACCTGCAGCCCCCCTGCCCAAGTTTTAGTTAGGGATATATAGTAAAAGTTATGGACAGGCCATGAATTTTTGTTTACTGCTTGTGACCGGTCCATGACTTTTACTAAAAATACCCATGACTAAAACGTAGCCTTAACTATGAGCCATCAATGTAATGCAGCTGTGAAAAAGGCTAATGCAGTCCTAGGATGCATCAAACTAGGTATTTCCAGTAGAGACACGGAAGTGTTAAGGCACTGGTGAGACCTCATCTGGAAGCTGGAGCACCCACGGAAAAAAATTAGCATGTGCCTATTTTATTGCAGCACCGGCTTTTAATACAAATTTAAACTACATTCTGTAAATGTCTGAAGGACTGAGCCCTAAAATTGTATCCTGGATGATCTTGTACATTTCTACTTCTTAAACAGTTGCTTGTATGGAGTGGTGTAGTCACTAGCAGGGCCATGATTCTGGCTGTCATTGCAATTGTGACAGGATATGCATCTTGACGTCACAAACCGAGAACCTGTCTTTCCCTCACAACTCTGGCTTACTTAGGACAACATCCTGCTCACCTTTCTCACTGAAGTCCTTAGAGGCCTACAATAAGAAGCAAAGTGATGACTACAGACCACCACTAAATTCAAACCCTAATTATCATGGCGTGAAAAACCAGATACTCCTTTTACCTCTTCCTTCAGCCATTCATTTTCTTCAATCTCCCTGTGACTGGTTTTGTCAATGTGCTTTACGGCATTCTGAGAAAACAGAATTTCAGATCTTCTCTGAAGACAGAACTTTGACAATGGCACATACTTGAGGAAAACATTTTTAATGGGCAGTTTAGTCCTCGAGGCAGGAAACATCCACACAGGGAACTAGAAACTGTGCAAGGTTCCCCTATACCATTTTCTTGGGAGACTTGAAGAGGCTCAGCTTGGGGTAGGCAGGAGGGTTAGCCCTCAAATCGGCTATTCCTCACAGATGTTCCAGTCCAATGCAATTTGTGACCAGTTATTATTTCTGATATGAGTTTCCCTAAATAAGAGCTTTCTCCCTCCCTCCCTCCATATCTGCCATTTCTGATTTATCCTGCACTGAAGTTATAATCTTATCTGTGTGAAATCAGACTTTTGCAATGGAAGGAAGGCAATACCACAAATTCAGTGTTGTGACCCTGATCCTGTGGGGCTCCTTTCAGGTACAGAAGTCCGTACTAGTGAATTTGATTGCAGGATCAGAGATTTGTCTTCATTATTGACTCCTATAAGAAATGAACTACCAGGAATCCCTTGTTTAGCATCACATGTTTACAATCCATGGGTCTGATTCTCTTCTCACACCACTGTAAATCAGGAGTAACTTAATTGAAGTCAGTGGCCTGGTCTACACTACGAGTTTAATTCGAATTTAGCAGCGTTAAATCGAATTAACCCTGCACCCGTCCACACAACAAAGCCATTTATTTTGAAATAAAGGGCTCTTAAAATCATTTTCTGTACTCCTCCCCGACGAGAAGAGTAGCGCCAAAATCGATATTGTCATTTCGAATTAGGGTTAGTGTGGCTGCAATTCAATGGTATTGACCTCCGGGAGCTATCCCACAGTGCACCATTATGACTGCTCTGGACACCAATCTGAACTCGGATGCACTGGCCAGGTAGACAGGAAAAGCCCCGCGAACATTTGAATTTCATTTCCTGTTTCTCCAGCACAGGAGAGCACAGGTGACCACAGAGAGCTCATCAGCACAGGTAACCATGCAGTCCGATAATTGAAAAAGAGCACCAGCATGGACCGTACGGGAGGTACTGGATCTGATTGCTATATGGGGAGAGGATTCAGTGCTAGCAGAACTTTGTTCGAAAAGACGAAATGACAAAACTTTTGAAAAAATCTCCAAGGGCATGATGGAGAGAGGCCACAATAGGGACTCAGAGCAGTGCTGCGTGAAAGTCAAGGAGCTCAGACAGGTCAGAGCTGCAGACATGCCGCTTCTACGCTGAGCTGCATGCAATTCTAGGGGGGGCCGCCGCCACTACCCCACCTCTGACTGTGGATTCCGAGGCGGGGGTAATCTTATCAGCCACACCTGAGGATTCTGCGGACGGGGAAGAGGAGGAGAACAACGAGCTTGCGGAGAGCACAAAGCACTCCGTTCTCCCCAACAGCCAGGATCTTTTTCTCACCCTGACTGAAGTACCCTCCCAAGCCAGTACCCAAGACCATGACCCCATGGAAAGGACCTCAGGTGAGTTTACCTTTTAAAATATAAAACATGGTTTAAAAGCAAGCGTTTTTAATGATTAATTTGCCCTGAGGACTTGGGATGCATTCGCGGCCAGTACAGCTACTGGAAAAGTCTGTTAACGTGTCTGGGGATGGAGCGGAAATCCTCCAGGGACATCTCCATGAAGCTCTCCTGGAGGTACTCCAAAAGCCTTTACAGAAGGTTTCTGGGCAGTGCAGCCTTAATCCGCCCTCCATGGTAGGACACTTGACCACGCCATGCTAGTAGCAAATAATCTGGTATCATTGCACAACAAAGCCTGGCAGCGTATGGTCCCAGTGTTTGCTGGCATTCAAGCAACATCGGTTCTTTATCTCGCTGTGTAATCCTCAGGTGAGTGATATTGCTCATGGTAACCTGGTTGAAATACGGGAATTTAATTAAGGGGACAGAGGTGGCCGTTCCTACTGGGCTGTGTGGCTCAAAAGAAATCCTTCCCTGCAGTTAGCCAAGCATGGGGGGGGAGGGAATTGGCCATGAGCTTTTCATGTTTGGCTAGCAGGGATCTTCCCTGATACCAGCCACGCAGTGGGGGGAAGGGTAGAGCGATCATCCCAGATAATTCATGGCGGCGGGGGGGTTAGTTTGGTTTCTGCGGGGATCTTCCCTGATACCAGCCACGCGGTGGGGGGAGGGATAAAGTGATCATCCCAGAGAATTGGAGGGGGGGGGGCGTGGTTAGTTTGTTTTCTGCTGCTGAAGGTTAACAGGAAAACCACAGCACTCAACAGGCTTTGCTTGGTATGTGGGAAAGGAGGGCGCAGAAGCCAAAAGACAATGGCTTACCATGGCCGTATGCAAGCCAAATTCTGTTGCCCGGACCTGCGTCTGTGATCTCTAACACCAAAGCCACAGGCACTCAATATTAAGATACAAAATGCGACCTTGTACTGAAATCACATGTGCTATGTAATGTGAATAGTGTTGTTCACCGTGAAAGAGTATAACATTTTACAGAACAATGCTATCTTTTTAAAAACTTCTCTCTGTTTTTCCATCCCTCCAGCAGCTGCGAATTTTTCAAGCTTCCCTCCTCCGTCCCGAAGGCTATCTCAGATAAGGCGGCGGAGAAAGAGGACGCGAGATGAGATGTTCTTGGAAATAATGGAATGCACCCACAATGAAAGAGCTCATTTGAATGAGTGGAAGGACACGGTATCTAAGTACAGGAAAGATGCCAGTGAATGTGAGGTCATGAGGGACGCTCGAGATGAGAGGTGGCAGGTTGCAACGCTGGGGCTGCTGCGTGATCAAACTGACATGCTCCGTCGTCTGGTGGAGCTTCAGGAATGGCAGCAGCATAACAGAGTGCCGCTGCAGCCGTTTTATAATCTCCCTCCCCATGTTCCACAGCCTCCTCACCCAGATGTGTAAGAAGGCTCCATGCACCCTCCCAGTCCACCCCAGTGGACAGCCCAACCAAAAGGCTGTCATTTATATTAAATTTTTTTCAGTGGCCTTTTCCTTCCCTCCTATCCTCCTCCCAAACCCCACCCGGGCTACTTTGTCAGTTCTCTCCCTATGTTTATAATCAATTAATAAAGAATACATGATTTTTAAATGGTAGTGACTTTATTTCCTTTAAAAGCAAGCTGTGATTTAAGGGGGGAGGGTGGTTTGCTTTCAGGGAATGAGTCAATCAAGGGGGCGGGTTTTCAACAAACAGAACTTTCACACCGTAACCTGGCCAGTCACAAAACTGGTTTTCAAAGCTTCTCTGATGCGCAGCGCTTCCTGGTATGATCTTCTAATTGCCCTGGTGTCTAGCTGCACATAATCAGCAGCCAGGCGATTTGCCTCAGCCTCCCACCCCGAGATAAAGGTCTCCCCCTTACTCTCACAGAGATTGTGGAGCAAGCAGCAATAACAATGGGGATATTGGTTTGGCTGAGGTCTGACCGAGTCAGTAACGAGCGCCAGCGACCTTTTAAACATCCAAATACACATTCTACCACCATTCTGCACTTGCTCAGCCTATAGTTGAACAGCTCCTGACTCCTGTCCAGGCTGCCTGTGTATGGCTTCATGAGCCATGGCATTAAGGGGTAGGCTGGGTCCCCAAGGATTACTATAGGCATTTCAACATCCCCAACCGTTATTTTCTGGTCTGGGAAGTAAGTCCCTTGCTGCGGCCGTTTAAACAGAGTGTTCCTGAAGATGCGAGCGTCATGAACCCTTCCCGGCCATCCCACGTTGATGTTGGTGAAACGTCCCTTGTGATCCACCAGCGCTTGCAGCACCATTGAAAAGTACCCCTTGCGGTTTATGTACTGGGTACCCTGGTGCACCGGTGCCAAGATAGGGATATGGGTTCCATCTATTGCCCCATCACAGTTAGGGAATCCCATTGCAGCAAAGCCATCCACTATGACTTGCACATTTCCCAGAGTCACTACCTTTCGTAGCAGCAGCTCAACGATTGCTTTGGATACTTGCATCACAGTAGCCCCCACAGTAGATTTGCCCACTCCAAATGGATTCCCGACTGACCGGTAGCTGTCTGGCGTTGCAAGCTTCCACAGGGCTATCGCCACTTGCTTCTCAACTGTGAGAGCTGCTCTCATCTTGGTATTCTGGCGCTTCAGGGCAGGGGACAGCAAGTCACAAAGTTCCATGAAAGTGCCCTTACGCATGTGAAAGTTTCGCAGCCACTGGGAATTGTCCCACACCTGCAACACTAGGTGGTCCCACCAGTCTGTGCTTGTTTCCCGGGCCCAGAATCGCCATTCCACAGCTATAACCTGCCCCATTAACAGCATGATCTCCGGGGCCCGCGGTTTGATAGAATTCCATGTCCATGTCCTCATCATTCTTGCCGCCGCGCTGCTGTAGCCTACTCCTCGCCGCCTGGTTTTGCAGGTTCTGGTTCAGCATAAACTGCACGATAACGCGCGAGGTGTTTACAATGTTCATGACTGCTGTCTTGAGCTGAGCGGGCTCCATGCTTGCCATGGTATGGCGTCTGCACTGTTCACCCAGGAAAAAGGCACGAAATGGTTGTCTGCCATTGCTTTCCTGGAGAGAGGGGAAGGATGTACCCAGAACCACCCACGACAATGTTTTTGGTCCCATCAGGCATTGGGATCTCAACCCAGAATTCCAATGGGCGGAGGAGACTGCGGGAACTATGGGATAGCTATGGGATATCTACCCACAGTGTAACGCTCCGGAAATCGACGCTAGCCCTGGTACATGGAAGCACACCGCCGAATTAATGTGCTTAGTGTGGCCGCATACATTCGACTTTTTACAATCTGTTTCCAAAATTCAAATTCTGTAAATTCGGATTAATCCCGTAGTGTAGACATACCCAGTGAAGCTAAACTTCTAATCTTCAACGGGATCTAATGAAGTGTGGGATCCTACTGATGGACATACAGATCCATCAGCATAGATCACTTTGTTGATTGGATATTAACACTGGTATAAATGAGAGAAGAATCAGATCCCACATATATTGATGAAATCTAACAGTTTGTCGTTAGACTACAGAAAACTGAAGTATGTTTTTCTAACTTTCTGACCATTTTGGTCCACTCTTGGATCAATCTTAATGCTTGAGTGAGAAAACAACATAATATAAAACTTCAAAAAAAGAACATACTAAGGCTGCAAACTCTTATGCACATGTTTAACTTCAGTGGGACTACTCACATGTTTGAAACTAAGAATATGTGTTTGCAGGAACAGGGCTTTGTTCATTGCCAGTTTTGTTTTTGCAAAGACAGCATTCGAAAAATACTTATTCATGATTTTTTGAAATGTCAAAAGTTATTTAAGTTGAAATTCTAAACTGAAACTCTGTATTTGCCTTTTTTTGTTCCGCATGTTCATGTTTACATTTATTTTTTGAGACTTTTTTAAATTGCGAGAAATATCAATATTTGGACATTAACATTTGTCTGTAAATGTAAAACATGCCACTTTCTGTATTTTTTTATTATAAATTCAACATTTTATTGTAAATCCCACACTCTTAGAAATTTTCACTAATTTTAATTTTTCAAAATTAAATTCCCAGTAAAATGTCAAGTTCTTGAGTGAGCCTCTGTGCCTCAGTTTCCCCAACTGTAAAATAGGGATGATGCTACTGACCTTGTAAAAGCTCTTTGAATAAAGAGCATGACAATATTGGTCAACGAAGTATTTTACAGTTCATTTTATTCTGTTCCAGTCCATAAGATACCCTGTCATTCCACTAATGAAGGCCCAAGTCAGTCTTTTTTTTTTAAATCCAGTTTAAAATCAATAAGAAGAGAATGAGTATTTGTAATCAAGACACGATTAGCATTCAGTATAAAAGCAGAAAAAGTACCTCAGTAGCCCATTCCTTCTTTTCATTCATTTGTTTCTCAACCAATCTGTCCATTTTTTCTTTTGTCGTTTCCAGAGTATGTCTATAATATTCTTTCAAAAGCAAAGCAGAAATCATTAGGAGTCACTGATTCCCTCTGCAGATGATGAGATAACTGTCTCGGTGTTACTGAGCTCATGGGACTCTACAGCCAGCATCTCTTTAGAGCATGTCGATATTGCAGTGAGGGTGTGACTGTACACAGGGAAGTGTATCATGCTAGGTTTACTCTAGCTAGCATGGGTAAAAGGAGTAGTGTAGATGTGGAGGCACAGGCTTCAGCTTGGGTGAGCAACGCAAGTACAAACCCGAGAGGGAGTCAGAGTATGTACCCAGGTGGCTATTCCAAGCCCCCATCACCACCAAGTCCTGTGCTTTGTATGATTTTATATCCTATATAGATAGGCTATATCTACACTATGAGCTAGGAACGTGCTTCCTCTGCTCATGTACACAGACTTGTGAGAGAGAGTGCAAGTATACATACCAGTGTAGCCCTGGTCTCACAGACAACAGCAGCGAAGGCGTGCAAACCCAACTGAAAATGGTGAGTACGTACTTGGCACTGCTCAGCCATGCCTCCGCTGTGTATACTCACATTAGGTCAATGAAAGCTAGGATTAGTATATGTATATGAACAAGGGAATCACACCCTTAGCTTGTAGTGTAGATATAGTGTTAGACTTTTGTAAGGCTTTCACTTCATATTGCCCAACATTCTGATTAAAGAATTGGCACTATACAATATTAATAGAGCACACGTTAAATGGATTAAGAACTGGCCAACTGACAAATCTCAAAAAGTAATAGTCATTGGGGAATCATCAAAATCTTAACTTTGGTTCCCAGAAAGCTAATGGAGCAAATAAACAAGCTATCAATTTGTAAGCACCTAGAAGATAATAAGATAAGTGACAGTCAACATCAATTTGTCTAGAACAAATCATGTCAAAACAACCTAATATCCTTCTCTGACAGGCTGCCAAGCCTTCTGGATACTGGGGGTGGGGAGCAGTAGAGGTGATATATCTCGACTTTAGTAAGGCTTTTGATACTCTCTCTCATGACCGTCTCATAAACTAGGGAAATATAGCCTAGACCAGTGGTTTTCAACTTTTTTCATTTGCAAACACCTAAAAAATTTTGAATGGAGGTGTGAACCTCTTTGGAAATCTTAGACATAGTCTGCGGACCCCTAGTAGTGGTCCATGGACCATGGTTGAAAACCAATGTTCTATGGTAATGACAACCTTTCGCGGACCCCTTAGACAAGGTTCCCGGCCAATAGGAGCTGCGGAGCCCCTTGGCTGACCCTATGCATAGGAGCCGGACGGAGAACATGCTGCTGCTTCCGGGAGCCACACAAAGCCACAGCACATGCGGAGCAGGGCAAGCCCCCGGCTGGAGTGCCAGAGCATGGCAAGCCCCAGACCCCGCTCCCTGGCAGGAGCTTGAGGGCCAGAATAAAATGTCTGAAGGCAGATGTGCTCGGTACTCGCTGTGAATGGGGAAGCTCTGAGGATGGGCATACGGCTGCCTCCATCAGAAAGTATTTTAGTCTGACTTTCCTATCCTTTTTGTAGTTTTGGATTTAAAGTCCGTGCATATTTGGTACTTGTCTTGGACATGAGGTTTTCCTAGGCACTTCAGGCACCTGGAGTGTGGATCACTGTTCCCAAATGGCAGGAACTTAAGAGTACAAAAAAGTACCCCAATAAAAGGAAAGCTACTATTAAACTATCCTAACACTAAAACTATTAGCTGTTAATCACGTACCAACTATATACACAATGCTAGAAGCAAGGGAAAGCTTGTAGTAGCATGGTGAATGCTCCAACCTCCATCACAGGCAATAAGAAGGAACTGAGGAATGTTGAGGGCAGCTCGGTCATTTCTCCCATGGTCCAGCAGTGCAAGGGCATATGCGCCACCTTGATGGGTACCATTGAAGTAAAAATCTCTGACAACTGTGCATTGGGCATACACACATCTGAAGTGGAATGGACATGTGCAGTCACCCAAAGAACCACCATCTTTTGTCTCTTATCTTAGCTTTTGACTGTAAGCTCCTTCGGGCAGGGACTGTCTTTGTGTTCTGTGTTTGTATGGCACCCAGCAAAATGGGGACCTGGTGCATGACTAGGGCTCCTAAATGCTACAGCAATATAAATAATAATAAATCTTTCTATAAATATGCTTTAGTTCAAACACATTATTGGATTAGATGCAAGAATCACTGTATGAAAGAGACTAGATTATCATAATGGTCTCTTCTGGCCATAAAGATCTATGAATCTATATAAATGTTCACTCTATTTTCTGCTTTACATCTTGGTGCAATAACATTTTGAACTGATTTAAAACAGGGAAAAGACAAAGTGCAAAATACCAGTCTTTCCTTGGTAGTTACTTAAAATACTAACTGACAGGCTAATATGCAATAGGAAAAACAGTTCAGATCTTTATAAAGATAAAGTATGTTTTCAGAACAATTACCCTGGGGAAGACAAAGAGAATAACTGAATGGTTCTTATCTGCAGCACTTGATGCTTGGTAATGGCTGGCACCGACTGTACGGGGACCATTCTCACAGTGGTGTCGCTGCCTGTCACTACCAGCTGCTTGGCTGTGGTAATGAATACTAAGAGTGTTACAAGGGGGAAAAAAATCAGGACTTTTTTTTAAATAATAAGAGTTACATAACACCTAAATAACTGGCATATTATTTAAAAGTCCTCTATACAAATGAATCTATATAATGGTTTTATAGAGCACACACCACTATATCTAAGCTCTTACATATGCTACATCAGAATTTAAACTGTGCCTTGAATTTGCACAAATTCATGTTGGGGATTTTGCAAAGCCGCAGATACAGGACTTTGTTACCAGTAGGCTAAATTCAGTTCTTACATAACCTGGTGAAGATCCATGGGCTCCTGATTATGCTAGATCTGAATTTCACCAATCCCAAAAATGATCTAAAATTTCTCCTGTGTTAAAGAAGCTTTCAACTGGAAACCTGTGAAGCATGGTACACGATGAGAAGCACTCAGCACAGTAGCACAAACCAACACTTTCAAACTAAGGTACCTAGAATTAGGCTCCACAATCTGTTTTTAGCCACCTATGTAAAAGCAGCCTAATTTTCAAAGGTATTGCACACCTGCAACACTCCCTGGACTTCAGTGGAGTACCTCGGAAAAGTATGTTGCTTTTATTTAGTTGCCTACAAACAGGTATATAGGTTTAAATATTTTGGCTTAAATGGATGTAATTAGTCTGAGCACAAACTACCTTCTGCAAATGAAGACTGTAGCTTATTTATGCACTATCTGTACTTGTATTGACCTTGCCGTAACTGACCTGTCATTTGCTCAAGGTCATCTTTGAGTCCGTGGATATCATTTTCTAGGAGCTTGATCTGTTTGGCATGTTCTCCACTTCCCACATTTTTGTACTCTAACCAGTAATCCTTCTCAGCCTGTTTTACCAGTAGTTTATGCTCAACTTCATTTATCCTGGAGTGTAGCTCTATTAAAATAACAAAACCTGAAAGGTGAATCCTTTTTTCTATCAATTTTTTGTATCAATTTTTTTTTCAGTTAGGGAACTTTCAATGGGAGTGGAGGAGGAAATCTCATATCCTACAACTTATTACAAAATCCTGGCCCTCTACATTCTCAGGGGCCACCATTTTCCAGCTTGGTCTCACCTGGTTGGAAACAATAAGTGACCATGGCCATTTTGAAAGAGACCATTTTAAACTGAGGGCACCAGTCCTACTAAGAACAATAGGAAACGGCAGCCACTTCGAAAGAGGGCAGTGCTGGGAATTTCTGTAGTAGAACATTATTCATCAGCCTCTGAGGAAAAAGAAACTTTCAGCTGTGAAGCATAACAGCAATAAATGGCTACTAATCTTAACAAAAAATTTCTGCATGTAGTCAATGCACAACATTTCAATGAGTTTTAACTACATGGAAAATTTGAAGAGTTTGTATTATTCCATTATAACTTGAGACATAAAAGGACCAACACAGGATGCCTAATTTCTTACAGGAATCATTTAAAATTAATTATAACTCAAACCAATAAACGGATTTACTGATTTATTTGTAAATTCCCAGACAATTAATTCTATACTCAAAGAGTAAGTTCTGTAATTTTGGGGAGGAAAAGCTGTATTCTTTCTATGTAACCAATAGGTTGAATCTCTGTGTCACTTGGTGACTGGCCCTTAAGTGAAGATGAGGGGCCCAGTCCCAGCAGTAACACACTTCACTCACTTTCCCACGTGGAGAAAATGAGCAAAGTCACATGAGAGGCAGGTCATGAGGCTAAATCAAGCTTTCTGAAGTGGAGATAAGGCAGAGGATTGTGGAGAGCCAGTGCTGGGAATTGATGCTTGTTGGAGACCGGGAAGAGACCCAAACGAACCCCCCAAAGGAGGGTCTGAGGCCCCATGCAGGAGGGGAGGGAGGCGGGCAGACGCGCGGGGTGAGGAGGCAAATGGGGAGGCGAGTGATGGGGGGAGGGCGAGGAAGAGCCCCCCTATCAGAACCTCCCCTTCCCCGCAGCCCCTCCTGCCCACTGGCGGGCTCCACCAATCAGCGTTTCCCCTCCCCCTTCCAGCATCTACCACCTGCCACAGATCAGCTGTTTCGCAGCGTCAGGAGGCGCTGGTAGGGGGAAGAGAGAGGAGCGAGGGTGCAGCGTGCTTGCGGGAGGGGGCGGAACTGGGCAGGGAAGAGGCGGGGCAGGGGGGCAGAGCCTTGGGGGAAGGGGTGGAACTTGGCAGTGAAGAGGCAGGGTGGAAAGAGGCAAGGAAGAGGCGGGGCGGGAAGAGGCGGGACAGGGCCTTGGGGGAAGTGGTGGAATAGGGGCAGAGCTGTGGCGAGCACTCCCCAGCAGATTAGAAACTCAGCACCTATGTCCGGGCCCTGCTCCCCCATAGGGATGGCCCTGGTCTGAGGGAAGAGACTGAGCAGAGCCAGGGAAGGTGGAAAGCTGATTCCAGAGGGCAAGCTGAAGAGTTCTGAAATCAGATGAAAAGACAAAGCCCTCAGGAAGGAGGGAGCTGTGCCCAGTTTGAGACTGAGGGTGAAAGGCCGTGTCATGTTTTTTCAATGTGGATACCCTTCAGGGAATTTTTCTTTACTGACTTTGCTAGCCAAAACACTGTAGCAATCAAACCAGGCTGGAAGGTTGGGAGATGCAACTTGAGTGAGGGGAAACTGAGGAAAATGCTAGCCTGACACCAGACTGGGGTTAGGTGGTTCTGCTTTAGTACAAAATTCAACTCAATCCTAACTATGGAAAACTGCAAACAGCACTTCCATAACTAACTTACTACTCACCTTTCAGAAGCAGTTCTTGGTCCTTAACATACTGCCATTTCTCCCTCATTGCTGCCTCTACATCATCCCTGGTTACAACCTCCTTTTGCTCTAGTTCTTTGTCCTGTATTTTCAAGTTGCTTAGCAGACTGCGGATGTGTCCCAGCTGTTCTTCCTTCAGATAGTCGTTCTACGAGAGGAACAAGAATAAGATACATAATAAAAGGGGTTTAAAATCTCTTCCTGAGTAACAAATTGAAATATCACTTGGATCTGTGACAACATGGTCCCTTGCAAAAAGTAGAGTTGAAGGTGTTTTGTAAGTCCCAGAAGTTTCTAACTAAGCACAAGCATGTTACCACCAGGAAAAGGGAAACAAATGACTGTTAGTCTGCTCAATATTCCCATTGCTGAGAATATAGGCTGCATGTTGCGTTTTAACAATAATACTTATTACTGACTTATTTGCTTAGATTCAGCAGAATTCTGGGCACCATACAAACATTCCTTATAACAACATACCACATAAGTTCTATCACCTTTGTTTTACACATGATGAACTAAGACAGTGAAAGGTTAAATGACTTGCTTACAGCCACAGAAGAAAATTAGCATCACAGGCAATATTAGAACTCCGGGGTTTTCTGGTTCCCGTGTCTATACTCAGATCACTACACCATGTCTCTCTATCATGTCGCCCAAATTCTAGTTGGAAACAGTCTACAGCTACCAATTTAGTGAGTTTGCTCCCAATGCCACACCATGAGAGATCCAAGTACTATACAAGCCAAATACATAACAATGGGGTAAAATACACAGCCAATAAAATACACAGCCAGAAAGCATCAGAGACACTCTGCTTCTCAAAGGATCAATGCCCAACTGACCAGAGAAATGGGGTGGAAAAAAGAGGGAGCCCAAAGAGCTGTCAAAAGTAGGCTAACTGAAACAAATGGTACTACAGCATACTCTAAAATATCCTCCAAGAAGTAAAAAGAGTCCCATGAGAGACTCTGAGTTGGCTGCTAACTAGGGGGAAAAAAATCACAAGAGACTACAGCTGTTGGTGGAGAGCAGAGCCAAATTAGCTGCTCCCAGTGATGTCAGCAGTCCACAGCTGGAAGAGAATAGATGCTGCAGGAATTTGGGAAACACCAGCCACATGCAGCTACAGCTCTCCTAAGAGGAGACTTAAAATCAGTGGCCTAATCACACTCTATCACTTAGTAAAGCGCTACAAACACAGGGCAAGGGGAGCATAGGGACCTTATTGTCCACTTCACCTTCTGGAAGAAGCCTAGTCTGCAAAACTGTTTGATTGCCAAGGTCCAACTCTTTCATTTCCTTGAGAGAGACAGTCTTTCTTGATCAACACATTATATATATTTCTGGAGTTCAAAGTTCACTGTGCTCTGGTATCAACCTAATTGGGCCTTGTACTAAATTTCTCTTTGAAGTGTGAACAGTGACCATGTAAAATTAGTACCCTGGGGTTCCATGTTTCTTTGTTTCTAAAGTGACTCAATGTGGTTAATTTACACGTAAGTTATTTCTCTATCTGGCAACGCTGCAAACTCAGCCTGGAGAGTTGAGCTGAGCTCTTTTCCTCATTTTTCACTATATTTGAGGTTCTGAAGGCCACACTAGTCCCTCATTTTCACTTGTGCAACTCCACTACATCAGAAGTGATTATAAAAATGGCACCTTCTTATTCAACAGATCTGTATTCAGAGTCATTATCTGCTCACTTAAATGACAGAAATAAGATCATACTGATTTTTATTCCTCTTAACCCTGCACAGCCAGCATGGGTAATAGAGAGGGAGTTGGATTCTATTTCTTCTTGTGCAACAGCCACAGAATTGTTTACTAAGTTCCAAATCATTATACCCTGCAACCCATTTTTACAGTTATTTTTAGAGCAGAACTGCACTTTGTTACATATAATTTAGAATGACAAAATTATATCTCCTTAAGCATATAAAGTGATTCACTAACCTTGTTTTCAAAACAGGCTTTGCAAAATATTAATTGTTACCAATACTGTAGTTACAATAAGTGTATTTAGTTTACAATGACAAATGATTTAGCTTTACTAGCTAAAATACACTAGGGAGCATGAGATGGGAGAGAGATGCATGTTTACTTACTCTTTCATGATATTTTTTGTTCTTTTCTTTCAGTTGCTTTAGTTCAAATAGAAGCTGATCAATTGCCTCTTCTTTTATCTGAATTCTGAGAAGAAAGAAGCATGTATGAAGAGTCATAACACAGCTACAGAAGAGAGAGGGAGCGAGTAGTTATTTTAAAGTAAGTTAGATACAAATACTAGTTAGTGCTTTTTGCCTGTAGATCTTAAATTGCTTTGCTAAGGTGGGTAAGCATGGTTATCCCCATATTACTGGAACACAGAGCAGTTAAGTGACTTCCTCAGCATCACACAGTGAGCAAATGACATAGTCAAGAGTAGGACCCGGGTCTCTTGAGTCTGTCAGCTTCCCTATTCCCAGGATCATGCTGTCTCCCTAATAGGCCAATGCCTCTTCAATGCAGAATTTTGAGTGAGAGGTGGGAAACTCCATGGGTGTCCTGTCAAGGGTTGGAGTTTGCTCCCTGCAGAAACAGCTGGGGATTCGGCTTCCTGAACACCTTACAAACTATGCATTCCCTGCTGGCGGGCTGCACTGAAACACGCAAACATATGCTTGTGCATATACACACACAGCTTGTAACTGCAAAAGAGGGAATTATTTAATGGTTTGGCCTGCAGTAACTTTCTGTGCAGATATTTGATCAGACCAGACGTGATCATGCAGAAAGGCTGTTACCCCAACTGTGTGGAAGGCTTCCTTGCTGTTTGGGGGACAGGAGGCTCTGGAGAGTACACAGCAAGCTTGCTGTTCTCACCAGCTCTGTCACAATTTGCACAGCAGAGGTTAGCATGTGGCCACTGATTGCTAGATAAAAAAATAGTGACCTATCTTTCTGTAACTGTGGTTCTTCAAGATACGTTGCACATGTCCATTCCACGGTAGGTGTGCACATGCCCCAGGCACAGTTGTCAGAGATTTTTTTCCCCTCAGCAATACTAGTCAGGGTGGCTTGAGCTCCCGCTAGTGCCACACACCCCGGCATGCTGGTATAGGTGGGCAGGGCTGTCCTAAACCCCGAGTTTCTTCAGACCAGATAGACTCTGAAGGAGAGGAAAGGCAGGTGGGCTGTGGAATGGACATGTGCAACACATTTCAAAGAACAACAGTTACAGAAAGGTAGGTAACACTTTTTCTTCTTTGAGTGATTGCACATGTCCATTCCACTGTAGGCGATTCACAAGCAAACTCGCATGGAGGTCGGCCGGGAGTCTAACTGAACAGTGATTATAAGACAATCTGTCTGAAACTGGGACTCTCTGGTCTGATGGGAAATGGCATAGGAGTGTGGACTGATGACCAAGTCGCTACTTTACAAATGCCTACAATCGACAATTGTGCCAGGAAAGCCACCGAAGTTGCCTGTGCTCAAGTAAAATGCACCAATACTCTGGTGGGGTTTATTAGCCAGTTGGTAACAAACAAATGCAAGAAGAGATCTAGGATGAGATTCTCTGCATGGAAACTGGTAGGCCCTTAACTCTGTCTGCAATCACAATGAACTGCGTGGAGGATCTAAAGAACAGTACCCTAGGTAGAAAACTAAAGCCCTTCTCACATGCAATGAATGAAGTTTTTCCTCATCTCTGTGCACATGGGGTTTTGGAAGAAGGTCAGCAGATAGACTGCCTGGTTAACATGAAAATTAGAGACTACTTTCGGGGGAATTTTGGATGAGGGGAGAGATGGGCTCTGAAACCAGGGCTCTCAACTCGTCCAGCCTTCTGGCAGAGGTAACTGCCACAAGAAATACTATCTTTATAGAGAGGTGAAGGAGAAAGCAAGTTGCAAGGAACTCAAAGGCTGGTCCCATCAACTTTGGTAGGACTAAGTTCAGATCCCAAAGACGGATCTTGTACGTGGGGGTACAATCTGACTAAGCTTGTTAGGAACTGGGTGACCATGTGGTTGGAGGAAAGATATCTACTATCCACTGAGACATGGAAGGCCGAAATAGCTGCCAGATGCACTCTTCTCATAGGAATAGCTGGTGCCAGGGTTCGAGCCTCTGAGTCTGCGCTATCCAAACGGTCCTGAAGACCGGTCCTGGAGATCAGACCTGGAAATCAGCTTCCCTCGTCAGCCATTATTGCAAACTCCTGTCTACAGTCCTCTGTTAACTTGTTTTTAAATTTTATAACGTTCTCCCTGAGGGTCAAGTCATAGCAACTCAGGAGTGCCTGTTGGTTTACAATCCTAAGTCACAGACTTTCTGAGGAATAAAGTTTCTGACCAAACAAATACAGTCTCTGAGTCTTTGCCTTTCAGTGTGGAAGCTTGTTGTGCTGTTTTTCCAGCTCATTGGCAGGGGTGGCAGGATGAGAGTGAAAATATTCAAAGGCTTTAGAGGAGACAAAACATGTCCTCTCAGCTCATTTTGCTTTGGGGTGCAAGGAGGAGAGTGTCTACCAAAGAACCCTGACTGGCCCCATGGTGGCTTCATTAATTGGTAAAGACACCCTGGCCAGATAGTTGACACCAAAATGTCCACCAACTTGTGAGGGCTTTCATTCACCTCTTCTGCCTGAATGTTAAGTACAGAGGCCACTCTTTTTAAAAGATCTTGATGAGCCCTGGCAGTGGTGAGACACTTGACTGCTCAATAGCTTCGTCTGGTGATGAGGACGAGGAAGCAATAGGCATCTGAGGTGGTGATTGGTCTATGACTTGCGGTGGAGAAGCTGCCCAAGTGATTTCTGGCTGCTTGGTACCAGTCTCAGTACCACTTCCTGGAGAATGGTGCACTCAATGCGGATATCTTCGGTGCATGATAACAAGAGGTTAAGCAGGTCCCTTGCAGCTGCACATGCCTCCGGCATGGTTGGGAGTGGCACTATTTGATGGTTCCACAAAAGTCTTCAGGGGCTGGCCTCGGCAGACCTGGCAGAGGCTCGGGAGGTGGCAGTCCCCTTTTGGGAGATGACAAGTGTTCCTGGAACAGCCACTTCCCTGAATGCTCTGTAGAGTCTCCACCTCTGTCTGACTTCAGTACCAACATAGTCAAGAGAGATACCAAACCTGAGGAAGGCCCAAGTCTCTTCGGTACTGGCAATGGGAATGAGGAGCCACAGACATCTCTTGTTGAGTGCTCCATAGTGAAGCTGATGAACTTGGGGTGCTTTCCCTGCATGACGATTCTGGTGGGGGGCAAAACGCTGCCTCCATGAGCAAGCATTTGAGTCTTATTCCTCTATCTTTTTGGAGCAGGGCTTGAATCCTTTGCAGATGTGACCTCTGTCATTAATGTGGGATTCTCCCAGATATTTCAAGCAGGGTGGGAGTGGGTTGCTGACTGGCATGGGTTTAACACAGGTCTGGCAGAACTTAAACCCTGGCAAACAGGGCATCGTTCTGGTACCAATCCCAGTACAAATGATAAAAAGTGGTCAAAAAAGACTTAGAATGCAAACCTAGCACTAAAGAACGTAGTAGTAGTTTACCACAGACAGGATCTATACAGAAAGAAATGAGGGAAGCATTTGACTTAACAAGTCTGGAATTGCTCCAACAACCGCCACTGGTGGTAAGACAGAACTGAGGGGGTTCAGGGCCTCGCCGTCTTATACTGTATGCAGGGGTGCATGGTGAACTGTTCACAGCGTGCACACAAGCCTACAGTGGAATGAAATGTGCAATCACTGAAAGAAGAACTTCCCAAACCTTGATGAGCTGCTTCCATGAGTCTCCCTGTGGCACTGGCCTACGAAACTGCATTTCCTATTTTACAATTTTATTTCTACAGGAAAGAAAGGGGAGGGATTAGGAATATAAATAAACCATACTAACTCCATGTCTAACAGCAAAGCACCTTGGTATGCTGATGTATAACATTCTGTTGTATTGACTGTGCCGATATAGGACTGTACCATAGTAGTCCTGTTATCTAGTTTATCATGCAAACACTGGGACACATTTTCAAGGGCTGTGTCCATAGCTGGGGCCAGATTTTCAAAAATGCTTTACGCCCAGCAGCTCCCACTGTGATGCTTATGGCTAGATTTTCAAGAGAGCGCCACGTGCAACATTCTGAACTCTGAAAATCTGGCCACTTGCTCTGGTGCCTAAATGGGAGCAGAACTTTTCTGAAAATCTGGCCCAGTGAGCCTAATGCAGTATTTCTTGCTCATCTACACTTCTGTTAGCTTCCAGGGGAGCGCTGAATAAGTAAGAAATGCAGGCTCAGACCTGAAAAGTAATTTATTCTGAATTTGCTGATAAGCCTAGCCCAGTGAACCAGCTCACAACATTCATGCCTCCTGTTGGATGACTTCTTTTTTTGTTTTGTTTTTTTGTTTTGGTTATCCACTGATCTCGTAAAGGCAACTTTTTCCAGTGGTCCATATAGCCTATGTCTACAGTAAGAGTGCTTTACAAGTATATAGGAATACTGATATACTATACCCATAAAACACTACCGGGTATGAACATAGCTTACACCAGCAAAGCTGTGCTCTTATCAGTATAGCTTATTCCACGCACCCCATGCACACAACCCTGCGTGAAACAAGCCATACCAGTAAAAGTGCAGTTTTGCCAGTATATGCTGTGTCCGTACTACTGCCTTTTTTCAGCACATCTTTGTTGGTCAGGGATCTCACCTCTTCATATTCCTGACCAATATAGCTACACCAGCAGAAATCTGTAGTGTAGACACAGCCAATTCTCTCAAGCTCTGAAATCTCCTAACATTAGATATATTAGGTTACTAGTTATGTCAATTTCCAAAACCATATTTAATCTATGTCATACCTCTTTCCAGAACTGTCTTACCCTGGGGCCCAATAAAGGCATGTGTAACCAATTACAATTAGATCCTCTACTGTTCCAAAAAGTATCATTCTCTTTTTTTTCCCCATTCCTACTAGTGTGTATTGAGTCAAAAAGAGATTTTTTTTCCTTAATAAGTTTGATCTGGATTTAGTCATGTAAGTTACAAGTTATCAGCGTTGCATCATCTGCTATCAATATGCCACTCTGAGTATCTGCTCCAAGGCATTCTTCAGATCCTCTTTTTAAGGATTTTAAGAGGAAAGTATATATTGAAGACATGGAGGAGTCTTTGGCTACAGTAAAAATGTACTACAGATCAAAGAGATTATGGTTCGGCAGCATATGCCCACTGTTTACTAATTTACTATTTAAATTACATTCATTTTATCAAAATTCTTCTGGTCTATTTTGCTATTCTGAACATTGATGCTGATCTTAATTTCCATCATAATGGGGGAAGGAAGCTTCAATGGGACCTCAAGACTGGCCAATCGGATGGTATTAATGTCTCTGTTTTTGTTTTTTCAGTATCAAAAATATGTAGATGTATAATACATTTTCAGGGTTTTTTGTTACTATACGTAACTTTCTTACCCTGAAAGTGCTGTCTATTAAAATGTCAGATTCAAAGCGCTAGTGAACATGCTTGATTAACAATCTCTTTGGTACTGTTTTTCTGGAATTATGTATATTGCATGCAATATTTTATAATACGTAGAGAGCAGTATTAAACCACACTAAAATCCAGTACCAAAATGGTCTGGTAACTCACCTGTGGCACATTACCAGGCCCCACTAGTTCACAAGTGAGTTGCTACTATCATTGAATTAGGAAACTCTATTAATGATGCAAAGAATAGCAAAAATCTATGAACAGCAACACTAGGAAATTTCAACCCAAGGGAGAAAAAGCAGATGTGGAAGTTTTTTAAAACTTGACAAATTAATCCTCAAGATACACCTGAGAGGTAGGTTCATACGTATCATTATGCTCATTTGTACAAATAAGAAAACTGAGGCAGATGTTAAGGCTCTGATTTACAGAGGTACTGAGGAAAAAAATAAGATGTGCATATCTCCCACTACGGTATAGGAGATTAAAAAATAAATTAGTGCAATTCCCATGTCAGTGGAAGACTCTCCTGACAAATGAGTCATCTATTTGGATGTTGGAACTGCCAAAACTGTGAACGGACAAGAAAGCTATTGTTTTTCTCATCCTAATAACATATTTGGCTGTTTTTTAGTGGGATGATATATTGCTTTGTTTGTTGATTTATTGGGCCATATTCATCCCTATCTTAACTCAGCTGAATCTGGTCTGTAACTCTATGGGAGCTCCCAGTGTGCTCCTTGCAAAATGCTAAATAAAGTTCATACAGTTCTACAGAAACCCTACACAAAGTCCTGCAAACTCTGGCAAAATACACTCTATCTGTAGGCATCTGCTATTCTGCTGTCTGGCCTTGTGTTCCTTTTCCAGACATTGAACTAGTACTTGTTATTCTTCAAATGTTGATGTGAACTGTTGAATGTTTGCCCGCTGCTGGGGGGTTTTCCTTTCAAATTAAATCTGATAAAAGTCAGAGCTAAATATTAACTTGTTCTCCTATCATTCATCTTCCAAAAAAATCAGACAGCTAGTAAGTCAGGTTATTTAATAAGATATTGGTATATTTTCCTCTTTCCTCCCTTCTTCGCTTCTGCTTTAACATTTTTCACTTTAGGGCTTTCCTGCCATCATTTTCAAAGTCAACAGAGGGCTGCCAAACATGCAGCTTTTCCCAGTGCAAGTAGCTTACAATGAAGGAACTTTCCATGTGGCCATGTCCACAACTACAATCTTTAACCATGACCGTGTAACTTAGAGGTATAGTCACTATAACTGGTTGGTTGCAAGTAACACTGTTTAGTTTGTGTTCACACAGCAGCTTTTTCTGCCATCATGACATCTGTGTTTGTGTGGCCACACCTACCAGGCAGGTTACCTGAATCCATACAAGTGCATGCTGGAGAAATCCGTTCAGCTATCTTTTATTGCCTCAACAAAGAACAGAATGCCTCAAGGACATGCAGACAGATGCAGGGAGCAAGGCATGCTGGGATGCCTTCCCTAGGAAGTAAGATCAGTCACATTGGTTACACAAACACGGTTTGGGAGGCCTATCTCCACTGAAAACGGGAATAGTGTGCTGAACTGGTTACAAGAAAGCAACCAAGTTCCAAATATGCCTCTAGCAGGGAAAAAATACTGTTAACTGTTATGCTGATTAACCAAGCAGGAAGTGTGGAGCTACAAACTGTCTTCAGAGCCAACCCTGCCAGTGATAGGTTACAGATTCAATTCAAAGTTGTAGCATGAACAGACCTTTAATCTGCTATGGGTCTTGACGGATTCTGTGCCGCCATCAGACGATGTTAACCATAATAACCAGGGATTGTACATTTTGACATGATTTTGTGGGATATCTGATTGCATATCTATGGGAAGAGGGAGGACTAAACTTAGTTACAGAGGCACAGTTGGGGTGTCCAGCCACACAGTAAAATATGTGCTCCCAACCAGTTACAGGAACTGAACATTATTTGTAGCAGGGGATTCGCATGCTTAAGATTAACCAGTCAGTAACAAATTATTATCAGTGTGATGAATGCAAATAAATAATGCCTTTAGCCACATGTGCCACTAACCAGTTAGTAACCTGACAGAAGGTTCCTGTGTAGGCAGGGCCAAAGATGCTGTCTCTTTGTAACCAACTTTCCATCTGTTTCTCAAATCCTGGAGTGATTTATCTGTAGTCCAATGATGCGTAGACAGAGCTGTTAAGGCTGCAATTTTGCCCTGGGCTCTAGTTCTACTTAGGATGCTAAATAACACTGACTACTAAGAATTATTTTGTTGCTGTTTTTGATCTTTGTTAATATTTTAAAGCAATGACGACTCATTAACTGCAAGGCAACAGTAATTCGAATCTGTCTTTGAAAAAAATCCAGGAGGAGCACAAAAGAGAAAGGAAGGAGTCTATGATTTGGGGAAGATCATTTCTAGATTATCTATTTTAGGAGGTATATTTGTGAGATTCAACAGGATCCATCAGGGTTTTTGTTGGCACTGGAAACTTTTCAGAAAACTTTATCACTGAGCTTTAAAAGAGGAATCTCTGACCCTCATTCTGCTCTCACTCGCATCGGTTTTACACCAACATAACTATTGATTTTACATGAAATAACTTCTGATTTACACTGCTGTAAGTGAGATCAGAATTAGGTCCTTTATATTCACTGAAGAATGTCTGTGGGCTGGATATTTATCCCATTAAGGCTGCTCTTTATTTTATGGGATTTTCCATGGGGAGCCTAAGGATGACACAGGGACAGTGCCATTTTGAGCTCATGTGATTCCCAGCTGCCAGAACGGCCCCCGTAGGGTTTTGGGCACTGGCACAACTTTAAGTACCCCTGAAGCTGCTCTGTTACTTCTTCGGACCAGACTGGTGCCTGGCAGCATGAGGATCTGGGGGATGTAAAGATATCTCACAGCCTCCTTTGTGCCCCACCCTGCGCTGCACCAGGGGACCAAACTGCCCGCCCTGAGAATCTGGCCTAGTGACTTCATATCCATGTGAAGTCTAGGAAATCCTAGAAATGTACAATTACCAGAACCAGATGTCAACTTCAAGATTTTTTTTTATCAAATATTTACTATTAACAGACAAAAAGCCCATTAGGTACAAGTGTATAGATATGTTGCTTAAAAAAAAAATTTGAGGAAATTCAAGCAAGCGAAATTCCTAATTTCTAACCCGAGGAAAAAAGAAAATGTTTGCCCCATTTTAAATGTTTTTTCCCATATGCACAGGTTTACAATCTGTACATTGTATCACAAAATAATATTAAAAAATCACAATCATCACATTTCTCCGTGTTAAAACAGCAAATATTTCGACTGACTGAGGTAAGTGCTATTTGCTGTCTGTTTTACAAGTGACAAATGTTTTATACAACTCAAGAATTTAAATTTATGAAACATACTGAAAGGCCAGCAGAGCTTCTGGGAAAGATGATCTAGCTTCTTTAAACTGCCCAACCGGATTTTCTTTTTTCTTCTTCTTTCCCATGTTTTATGCTGCATGTGTACTGGAATTTAGAACATATCTAAGAAAAACAAACAATGGAAATTATTGATCTATATAACTTCACAGTCTTACCTGACTGTGGCACCTGCAACAAACAGCTCTCAAAAAGTGGATGTTTTATCAGCAAAAATAGAAATAGTGAAATAATATTAAATCACAGGCTAAAACAAATCACTTTTCCAAAAATCTTTTCAATTTCAGATAGGTTATTTTTTCAAAAACCTAATATTAAAAAGTTACTTGGGGAGATAAAAATAATAGTTTAGAAAACAAATTTCCTTACCTATGTTTACAAACAGCAGCGTGGTCTGAAGTAAACTGGTGAAATTCAATAAGGACAAATGCAAAGTACTCCACTTAGGAAGGAACAATCAATTGCACACATACAAGAAGGGAATTGACTGCCTAGGAAGGTGTACTGCAGAAAGGGATCTGGGGATTATAGTGGATCACAAGCTAAATATGAGACAACAGTGTAACAATGCTGCAAAAAAACAGTTTTAAAATACATTACAAGGAGGAGGGTGAAAAATTGTTCTTGTTAGCCTCTGAGGATAGGACAAGAAGCAATGGGCTTAAATTGCAGCAAGGGAGACTTAGCCTGGACATTAGGGAAAACTTCCTGTCAGGGTAGTTAAGCACTGGAACAAATTGCCCTGGGAGGTTGTGGAATCTCCATGATTGGAAGTTTTTAAGAACAGGTTAGACAAACATCTGTCAGGAATGGTCTAGTTATTATGTAGCCCTGTCTTGAGTGCAGGGAACTGAACTAGATGACTTCTCGAGATCTCTTCCACTCCTACACTTCTATGATTCTGTGATTGTGTGATTAAATATCTAATATACTTTTTATTGTTTATGCTTCCCACACAGACATACTTTTAAATTTATTTCAACTTGGACAACAAAAATGAGCCCATTTCACCTTATTTTTCTATTCGGTTTCACTGTCAGAATCTCACATTCTAGTCCAATATTTTAGGATTTGAGTTTCAAACACTCCAAAAAAAATGTGTTTTTTGAAAATGTTGACTGGAAATTTTAAACAATAATTATATCAAAATATTTCTATTGATTTTAGGTTTTGAAAAAGTTTAAATTTAGGACCTCAGTTCAGTCATAGAATCATGGGAAAGTAGGGCTCAAAGGAACCTCAAGAGGTTTTTTAGTCAATCCATACAGAAGGGCTTACAAAACTGGGCCCACTGTCCCATTGCTAAATAAGGGCCAAATCCTGCAAATATATACTACTAGTAGTGCTTTGTAACATGAGTGGTTGCATTGACTTCAGCAGGACAAATTATGGCAGTAAGCACTAGACCCAATTGTAAATGCTTCCAGGATCAGGCCCTTCAAGCTAGTGGGGAGCTATGGCCGCCAATTCAGGAAAATTCATAAGCTCGGGAAGGCACTTAAGCACATGCTTATGTTCTAGTGACATGTACTCAATGCTGTCCTGAACTGGGGCCTATGTAGCAACTAGTAATTGCATTCCTTAGGATTGGAATTATTTCATTCTCACAGATCCAGCCACCAGCAGTTGTTTCTTTTCTAGCCATTTTTCTTCTGTTTCAGGTCCATCTTTATCAGGCCAGCTCTAGCTCACTTCTTAGTATGCATCTCTCTTCCCCTTCTTTATATTCTCCCAGAACTATGAATGTTTGCTGTAGCTCTGACATGGGTTTTGATTGTCAGGGCTGGGAATAAAACTGCTTTCGGAAGGGATATGCATGTCAACAGTAATCCCTACGTGTATTGTCTTGCAATGCCAAGCTCAGGAATAAAGTGACAGTGATTCTGTTGACAGGCTGGTAGCATACATATATGAAAAACAAATCACAATGAAAGGGCATCTATAGAGTTTCTTCATTATTACATTTCAGCTGTATTTTCATTTTAATATGAAACTACCCAGCTGCTTGAGTTCCAAATGTTAATTAATTAACACACACAAAACTTAAACAAAGGTTGCTACTAGTCCACAGAACTAATGTCATTATACACAGCAGGCTAGATTATTTCGTCTTGCAGTGGACAGAGCTCTCCCGGACCCAGAAGTGTAGAACAGGTGGCTTAAGCATTAGGGCTTCTCTAACCCACACCAGCTCCTTACATACAGCCTTAACTCTGAGTCACAACCACCACCTCCACAATAGGACAGGCTGTTTCCTATTAAAATTAACACACATGAAAATTGTTGGGCAGCAGCACAGCATACCCGACACAAGTCCATTAAAACAAGGAAATGAACTTAAGCCACCTAACTCTAGACACCATCTAGTCCTCCACCCATAGGACCCAAGCTTACTATTACTACAAAAACCATCTACCACAGACCATGCAACCAGCCAGTCTACATCCCAGCTTTTATAAGATTATTTTTTGCCCAACATGAGTGGCTATTGTTTGGCATAGTAGTTGGTTGCGTTGGCAGAAGGTAGATTGGTAAAGGGCAAGTGCAAAAGGTCAGTTTAAAGGGAGTGATAGAAGGCTGGCAATCCTAGAGAGGCAGATTTAGGGTTGGACAAGAAAATGGGAGCTAGGAACCTATCATTTATGCCTTTGAAAAATCTTCTCCTTGATGTTTTATTCAAAGGCATCTTCACCACTCCAAGTAAGCTGCATATAGGAAACCTACTTGCCCTGAAGGACTGAGTCAATTTTGCTCGTTTTGATTATGTGGTTCTAGGAAAGGGCTGATTGTTTCAAATCTGATGCTTAGACCAGGCAACCACCCGTGTCCCCCACTCCCCCCAGATAATTATTTATCAGTGACAGCTAATTTTCATCATAAGAGTCTAGTCCTGGAAACTTCAAACTCCCAGCAGGGACACGTGACCTGGCCTGGGATCCTCGCAGCCAGATGCAAAGGGGCCTAGATCAACATTTCCATGTTTGTATCACAGTAGTAAATGACAGGTTTCAGAGTAGCAGCTATGTTAGTCTGTATCCGCAAAAAGAACAGGAGTACTTGTGGCACCTTAGAGACTAACACATTTAAATTTGTTAGTCTCTAAGGTGCCACAAGTACTCCTGTTCTTTTTACAGTAGTAAATATTTGCATTATGGAACCATATTGTGATGTGTCTGCTGCAGCATCATAACATTTGCCATACATGAAGAAACCACCATGCCCCAGGAACCCATTTGGGTATAAGGCCCTGATCAGCAGACCTGTCCTTAATATGCCTACTGCCCCCGAGCAATTACTTGTTAAGTTCATTTTTATTGATCAAATTCAATGTTGGCCACAGGCAGAGATTTAAAAAATAAAGAGAGGGGTGGATGCTGATTTTAAGGCTAGAATTTTCCAAGGGGCTTAACTCAGTTAGGTGCTCAAATCCTACTGAAATTCAATGGGAGGTGGGTGCCTGACTCCCTTAGGCTTCTCTGAAACTTCCAGCCCAAGCACAGGGGTGCACATGTTTTGAAATGCAGGCAGGATCAGGTTAGGTTCTGGGCAACCTCATATCAGAATACAGAATCAAAGGGGGGGAAAATAACCATTTGCCTTTTCCATCTGTGCATCTACTGTAGTGATTTTCCTAAGAAATAGAAAATGGTGGATCATTCTCTCCCCCTGACCCCACACCACCTCCCTGGCTCTTCCATATTTATGGTCTCTGGGTCTTGCTCTAAATGGATTCCATGCATCTATGCTTAGTGCAGAATACAGGGATCAAGAAAGTATTTCAAGCAGCAAGTTTTTGGCAGCGCTTGTTTCTGAAGCTCAAGCCACAGCTGAGCTCGAGTGATTTATCTGTGAAATTCTTTCAGTGAGGCAAACACCACACAAGCCTCCAAGCCGGACCAAGGTGAACAACATACTGTAATAACACATTTAATAGATAATGCAAAACAAAGAAAAATACATAGACAAGAGAGAGCAGGATACATTTCTGGGGGCTGAGAATTGATTACAGATTTAAGTCAACAACAAAAAAATTTACAGAAGGATGATTTATTTATCTTCTCCCAAACTACTGTCACACCTTGTCTACACTGCCACTTTACAGCGCTGAAACTTTCTTGCTCAGGGGTGTGAAAAAACACACCCCTGAGTGATGCAAGTTTCAGCACTATAAAGTAGCATTGTGGACAGTGCACCGGTGCTGGGAGCTACTCCCCTCGTGGGGGTGGTTTTTTTACAGCACTGGTGCCGCTCTCTCCCAGCACTGGGGCTGCAACTACACAGCCACGTTAAAGCGCTGCTGTGGCAGCGCTTTAACGTTGGTAGTGAAGACATACCCTCAGTCACAGCTCTAACACCACCACCACCATTACAATCAGTACCCCTGCTGCTGTGATCTCCCCACCGATCAGCAATACTCATTCTTCCACCACAGCCAAACTACTATTACCATCACAGTCATGACACACCCCATCACCGTGACCACCAGCATGATTACCACCCACATCCAAATTGTTTGTTAACAATCACTGCCACCATCCCTATCAACTGTGCCCCCCACTACTAACCCTACACTTCAAACACTGTCACACACAACCTGCTCCCCCAACTACTGTCAGTTACTCTCACACGCTCCTATCACATCACATACTCTGCATCTCCCACCTGTCATACACAACTGTGCCCCCACCATAGTCCCGTACTGTCTCCACTGTTATTTCCTAAACTTCTACCATCACTGCGGACCACTTCCTGCAACCTCAGCCACTAGCAACACATACCTGCACCCCCACCCATCCTTCTTGTCACCCACCAGCATCACCACCACTATCACACCACCCACCTGCACCCCCAGCCACACGCACCAACCCACATCATCAGTGCTATCACCCATCTGAACCCATCATTGCTATCACCACACTCCCAGTCACCATCATCAACACGCAGCCATCACTGCTGTCACACACCCGCACCCTCAGCTGCCATCAACACCCACTTGCACCTCAGACACCATTTCTCTCACCCACTCATATCCCAGCCACCATAACCAACACCCACCTGCACCCCCACCATCACTGCTGTCACTCATCTGCACCCTCAGCCACTGTCACCAACACCCACCTGCACCCCCACCATCACTGCTGTCACCCTCCTGCACCCTGAGCCACTATCACCAACATCCACCTGCACCCCCACCATCACTGCTGTCACTCATCTGCACCCTGAGCCACTATCACCAACATCCAACCGCATCCCCACCATCAATGATGTCACCCTCAGCCACTATCACCAACACCCACCTGCACCCCCAGCCACTATTACCAACAACCACCTGCACCCCCACCATCACTGCTGTCACCCTCCTGCACCCTGAGCCACTATCACCAACACCCAGCTGCACCCCCACCATCACTGCTATCACCCTCCTGCACCCCCAGCCACTATCGCCACTACCACCCTGGCGCTTCCCGACCCTCCGACTCCCGCCCCCTCCCTACAGGTCCCCCTC